TTAAGATAGCTGATGCGATCAACAATAGTATGTGGACAAATTTTACTGTTCATTGCAATTGGTAAGTCTGTAAAGTAAGCGGTTGAAAAATCAGCTATTTATTACATCACTGACAACCGTCTAATATTTATGAACTTATACTTAGGTGACCGACTAAACATAAACGGTAAATATAAAAGTAATGGTCGATGAAAAACATCAGTTTGGCTGCAGTGTGGAATTATAACATGGACAATGTCGAGTTTACCCATATATATATAACATGGACAATTTTGTAGTTCAGATTTTTTTGTTTAAAAAAGGTAATCCGAAATCTTCAGTCTAGTCTACTTTCGAAACGGGAAAAATTTAACTTAACAATAAAAAATGTGAGCATGCAGATGATGATTTGCAAAATCTGAAATATTTTGCCCTATAAATTAAATATTGAGTTTTATTTGTAACACGATGTGCCTGACAATTTGATTGCTTAATGTCCTTTTCATCGTCCGACAAAATAACAAATAAGGGCAACATCGAGAAAAAAAATCTTCGATAAGCAAGAGGAAGCGTCACTTGGCGTCAGAGTGGGGTCTCGAATAAGTTGCCGAAAAATTGCCCCTCTTTTTGCCGCCCCCTGCACGTGTCTGCACTTTGCTTTTCTTGCGTGAGACCTTGCTTGCACGTCAGCAAATTGTGTCGGAAGCAAATCTTCAATAGGAAGACTAAATGTGGTATATCTTTGATGAATGTTTTAACGATTATTTTTTGTTCATTTTACAGTAAGATTAAAGTATGATGCGCTCAGATCAATTGGGCCGAGGAGGTGAATATATGTTAACTGTAAGACGTAGAAACATTGTCGAATATTTTTTCACATAATTAGAAACTTACAAGCAATTCTCGTTTATTCTGGATCACTTTAAAAACTCCGCTAAGGCTTTTAGTTTTAAAGTGACTGGGCGGAGTCATTAACAAATGACGATTCCGCCAAATTTTACATGTTTAACTGATGTATTCCTGCCTTGATGATTAGCTTCAGTTAAAGATACACTTTTCAATTGAATGGTTCCTGATTGTTTCTGACAGTGTACGAACGAAACACGTCTAGCCATTCTAGGATTATGAACCAACAATTAATTCATCTTTCATCACGGCACATAAATTGAGTTTAGTCCTGATTTCTAATTTTTATTCGCAATAATATATAAAATCGTATTTGTTATTGACAGTGTGACAGGTGAAAAGATTAAAAGACGTGATTCGACCGTAAGAAAATTCAAAAGATTTACAAGTAATCAAGAATCCGATTAATCTGCATTATTCGATCATTTTGCTTAGAATCTGTTATATTAAGCGTTCACTAGAAGGGTCAGCCCAGATAAACGATATTATAGAATGAAGTCAATAAAAAGTACTTATTCGTAAGAGATGAGCTAATTTTTAGTCTACTACAATCGGAAATAATCAAAAGCGACATCCATAAGGCTGATTTAATGGCCCGAGACCCTTTGCTTTAGGAAAATCGAAACTGTTGAAGGGAGAAATTTACTTTAAGGAATGCAAATTTCGATAGAACAAGAACTGAACAGTGGTAGATATTGAACATCTGCAACAAATTTACTTGATGACTTCAGGCTAATTGTTGTTAAAAGATTTGGTGGAGAGAGCGGCTGGCGCCATTCAGTAACAACTACAAAAATTACACATATTTAGTTTTTCAGCAATCAAATTGCAGCTACAATAATATGTTTCTCCAGAATTTGAACAACTGAGAAAAATATAATGTAATGACAAGAGGAAAAGATGATATTTGAACACCTGAGGGAAGATAATAAGCGGAGCAACAACACTCCAGAGGGAGTAAAACGATTTTAATTTGTTCAGAAGTGGGAGCGGTGGGGTAAAGGCGGCGAGTCCTCAGCCCTCTTATTCACTCTCGGCAGCTTTGTACACCAACACAAACACAATCTGTGATCACCTTGGGTATTTAACCCTGTCTCAGCCTGAAAATGCGCCAGACTGCCACACCATAATTGTAGATTCAGTTGCATATCAATTTGTTTAAGTAGAAACAATTCATTTCTTAAGCTAAGACTGTCCTGACAAATAGCAGCTAGGAAGTCTGGGCTGTTAGAAAGATTGTCCTAAACCTCGGTTTTACAATTTTCAATAATTCAAAAATTTGTCGCTGTTGTCGGAAAAAATCCTCATCCTCATCAGGCATTTGGTTCGAAGATGACTCTTACCATTGGTTCTGATAAACATCATCCTGTTTGCAGGTACAATCATAGGTTAACAAACTTCTTTAAGTCGATGAAAGGATGATAGTATAATTTCGTATTAACAAATCGGATATGTACCTGAAGAAGATCGACTAAACTAATCTTCTACCTAATAATCTACTTTAAAATACTCGCCTGTAATGTTTTTACATAAAATCGCCTAATCTAGACTTCTTGCTTAATCCTGACTGGGATCGTAGTATTGTGTGATCTAAAATCAATGGATTTGAAAAAATTTCCAAGGGTAAGACAAATTTTACTTTTTTGGAATAATAAAATTTGTCGCATACTTTGTATGCGGGACTTAGTATCATATTTTAATTTTTGTTCTTAATTCTTTCCGTTCTCGCAAAACCGCTCTTTAGCTAAATAAGTTTAACAAAGCTAAATAAGTTTAACAAAGCTGTCATATATGGTATTGGTGTGCAGGATTTTGCAGGATTTCTATCAAGCGGACTTAAGAAACTGAATACAAATTCAGGGTTGCCATAGTTTAATTGGACTGCATTTTGTGGAAATAAAATCAAATTTCATGTCACTTGTCTATCAAGTAAATGGTGTTAAAATCGTGTAAGTAAGTACATTCACGATAAAAAGGAAATCTCCAAGTCGCGTGCATTATAAAAACTTCTTTCAGTTTCAGACTTCATATAATCTTGTTTAAGTTTCGAATAACTATAAGCGGATATGTAAAGCAATTGGATTACTTTTCGAAATGAATAGCAAAATCAAAAATCATTATTGCCTTTCGTTTCGAAAAGGATTTTCAAAGATTCCCCGTTCAACTTTAAGGTACGCTGACTTTGTGTAGAATCTAGCGACTAGCATGTTCGTCTTTCAGGTAACAATTTCGTACTCTTACAATTGAATGCAATTGTTTACGGAGATATAGCGTCTGCCTAGTGCCTTAATATTAAATTTGTATGAAATAAAGTTAACCTGCTCAGTCTATTCAGAGCTGGGTAGTCACTAGTCAAAGGTATTGAAGTTATGACTAAAATATTTAGAGTCTTCATCAAGACCACAAAAACTAAGATTAAGTGATGAAATTTCGAAATTCATGCTTGATTCCAGGGCTACAGGACACCACCTAATCGCGAATATAGCTGTGAAAATCATCAACCCGATCACGCACGAGGACGAGGAGATTAAACTAAATACCCTAATTTTAGGTCTAGTAATTCAAATAGCAAGCTGATTGATACTTACAGTAGAGGTCTGTAACCGCTTGTACAAATAGCTCCATTAAATATCATATATTTCGAACGACCCGTACCCCTCGGTGACAAGCTACAGTAAAAATTCTAGTTAAGTTCCCGAATTAGCAATACAGGCACTGGGTATGATTTCAAATAGGAGGTTGTGGGAAACAAGTCATGTGCTGTTTCGTGACAGGCGGTGCGAGTTTCCCATTGGACCCCCCTTATCTTTGTTTGTAACTCTAAGTGGGTCAGGCAGTGTGGCTGAAGTTCCTGTCTTGAACACACCTGTAACTAGTATTCAGGCCCTTTTTAATCAACAAGTGTAAATATCGGAACTGGGAACAAATGTGGGGGCCATCAGGAAACATTGGGGCAGTACGATCACACAAATCATACTAGTTACACTGCAATCAGTCAGGAAGTGCTACCCCTCGCGAGCGGGCCCCGCGTTTGATGTCTCCCAGTTTACAGGTCGTGCCACTGAGCTCCGGAGATATCACTTTTTACAAAGAACATCTAATTTGTGTGCTTGATCAGCTGGAGGAGGGCGCTGTCTTTTCAAGTTTCCATTTTCTTATACACACTTACACTTGCACTTCTAGTACTCCGTCACGGTTCACTTCCAACATCTCACTAGTTCTTACTGGGCTTTGAATTTGTTAAGTTGGCAAAATTAACCACTTCAACTTTATTGGAATTCATCTCAAAAGTAAAACGTAAGCCTAATATCGTAACGTAAGTTTTGGTGACTAAATTTTCAACGAGCAGCTAAAATAGAGGGACAAATTATACAGTGCCCATGGCGCCAGCAAATTTAAAGGCCAACTTATATGGGGCCTTGGGGCTAGTTGGGCTAGAAAATAAAAGGGTATCACAAATTTATGAACTTTTTTCCGCGTTCATCAACACTGATTGTGAATACTTAATATTTATCACAATTGCAATGGACACTCAGAAGCGACGGGAGCCATCCTTTGTGATAAACCCATTTTTGTGATAACGCATTTCTTTATTAGTCAAATCGCCAAACTTCATACCAATTTCTAGCGGAAGATCTTTACACAATGAAGATGGATTAATTCAACAATCAATATTGTCACGTTGCCATAGGTTGGAAGAATTAGTTGCCGACTGTAAATTCGGGATCAGGCACGTTTTTAATCCGATTCCTTTGGCACAATCTGCCGAACCCAGACCAGTATACAAAATTAGAAGTTGAAATTCAGCAGCTTTTTTGTTTTAATACTCAGGGGATAAGAGGTGACAGCCAGTTAGACAGGGGATCATTTCTTATTCGCAGGGCCGTTTGTTACAATGAGATATTGGATCACTATAATAGTACTACAAGGTGACCCACGTAATTGAGATTGATTCGACTTTCTGGGACCCATATCTCGATTATCTGACTTCTCTTTCTACAATTCTGATTAGGATAACGTGAGCCATTCGATAGTTCCGTGATAGCAGTTAATTCTGAGCCACCCTGTATTATCTGATCGAACATAGACTAACAAATAACACCCCATTTTTCTTCAATAAATACAAGTATTAATTAATATGAATTATAATTCAGAAATATAGACAACTAAATTATTTCAGAAGCTTCTTTATCAGTGTGGAACGGCTATCTTTAACATTAAATTCTCAAATGTTCTCAAATATATCTGTTTAAAATCAGTTCGCTAAAAATGTTTAAAAAATAAAGGGTATTTCGAGTTGCAAAGTACGTCAATCTGCAAAATTATTTGTCTTCAGCCGAAGGCAGCTGGTTACTCAGTAGTGGCTATAAAACAGCACCCACTATCTGCATTATTGCAACTCTGTTGCTTGTCAAGCCTGCAAAGTTTCATTACCTATTCAAACGGATAACGTTGAAATAGTGGCTGGTTCTAATAAGGGAGAGGCTTTGGGAAATGTGTGACTCCACACTGTTTCAGAAGAGCTGAGATCGTGTTCAGTTGTTTCTGGACTTTGTTCAAGTGCTCCGAGAATGTCAACATTTCTTCTACCAGTGTCGTTGTCACCTGAAATAGGATACATTTATCTTTTAGTGAATATTATTTATCTAAAAATGTTCGACAGGATAGAATTTTGACTATTTTGACTAAATGTTGTATAATAAGATAAGTCAACATGGCTAAGTTAAAAATTGCACTGACTAGTTTGAATGCACTCTTCTGGGCCTCTTTGGTGTCTTCTACAAAACTAACACTCTTGTCCAATCCAACCCTTTCCGATTTGTTCGGGCTCATCATCAAACCTTGTGGGAAGAAATTGAAGGTCAAATTGCTGCTAACATCTTTGAAAATCTACGTGGCTCGACTTAAAATATGATAAAAATTAAACTTCCCTCCAAGAGAGGCAAATGGGAGGAGGAGATTTTTAAAAGTAATGATTTAAACTTACTTTTGATGTTGAAAGAAGTATCTGATTTTGCCAGCTTGTTCCATATCTTTGGTCGCTGAATGCAGTAGAGAGATAGAAGTATACCACACAGCCAAGTTGTGAACTCTCCCCAATTACTCTAAACGAATAAAAAGTGTGAAGTTAAATCAACACTAAATAGTAAATAAGAACTCTAGCACGTTGTCAGCGAATTCAGAAATAAAGACTTTTCAGTGATAAGACGCGCAACGCGCATTTAATTACTTTCACGATATCTACCTTTTTAATATATTATGTTTGCGCGCCCTCCAAACTATTTTGTATGCGCTGCAAAAAGTGACATGTTGGGCCAGCTTATGTATTAATTGCACCATGTGCAACCGCGGTAACACAATTGCAGCATGATATTTATGATATAAAACTGCCTTACTGCTAATAAAAAATCTCCGAACTTTACAAGTGTGTCATCTGAGGTAAAGCATTTCAATATGAGCGGTAAATGGATATCAGGTGACCAGTCGTCATCAGCGACACCCTATTTGCCACCGATCATAATGAAATTCGCGAATAAAGGGAGCATGCGGGCTTAAATTTTCTACATAACCATGGTAACGAAAAAGGTATAATTGAATTGGTGATGGAGTCGAGTCAACGGTGTGAGGGTGCAGGTGCAAAATACTACATGTCACAAAATATGGCGTGTCACACAATACACAACGAACTGTCTTTATTAAATGTAAATAAGAACAGGCGAAGGTTGTCATGCAATACGGTGATTACTTTGCTGTGTATAACTCCTGGAAGAGTAAACTGGTACAAGAGCAAACAAGACAGTGTGTGCTGTGTAACAGTGTGTGCTGTGTAACAGTGTGTGCTGTGTAACAGTGTGTGCTGTGTAACAGTGTGTGCTGTGTAACAGTGTGTGCTGTGTAACAGTGTGTGCTGTGTAACAGTGTGTGCTGTGTAACAGAGGTCGGTAGTATCTATGAAGCCTGGCACTAAGGGTCGACAACTTGTTAGGGTTAGAGTAAGGGTTAAAGTTGGGGTAGACTTTAGGTAGTCTTTAACCTTTAACCTTACTGTACTCCTGAACATTACCTAAAACGTTGTCTAGCCTAACTGTTCGGGCATCTTGGATATTACCCAGACTTCCATAGACCTTACTCAAACTCTGCATCTTAATATTTTGACATGATATACCACAAAATAACGAGTTTTAACCTTCAGCTGGGAGTGATCAGGAGAAAAGAGCTCAAGTCGTTCAACTAATGTTTCCATCTTCTTTTGAGATGCTGTAGCTAGACTTTGTAGTGACCCAATACACAAGTCAATCTGGGGTAAAGAATGTATTTTATTTGAAATATTATTAGTACTAATGTACTTTATCATTAGTAATGTACTGATTAATATTACTAATTATGTACTAATTATTGATTAGTTTTCTGCAAAGTGCTCGATGAGACTAAAACTAAGAGCATGAAATAACGATAAAAATGTAAACTACCTACCTATCTAACGGCAGTTTCGCCGCTAAATATCGAGGAGATCTACCGAAGACAGAGCTCGGTAGTTTACTAGTAACTACAGTTAATTTCAAATGTAATAGTATACAAATTATACAAAGTTAGTGCACTAAAGACAAAAGAGAAGCGTAATAAATAAAACATATGAAATTGATCAATAGCTCCCAGTATTCTAGCAATCTGTCTAAATTTCAGACATCGAGTAATTTAAGTAATGAATTAATATAAGTAATATAAGTAATTAAATTATGAAAAGAGCGAGGCCGGTTTTTAGAATTCAGTCTCCTTGAGAAACTATACTCACTGTCTTGAAATAGACGGACTGGACAAACAGTTTTATTCAGTTATCTTCTACTGACTTTATTTTAAGATAACGAAAACAAAACAATAAGAAAACTGTTTAGTGCATAATGCATAGAGTAGAAGACAAACCTCAAAAAGCTTAGTCCTATTCTCACGCTCGATAATCTCCTCTACGTTTGCCATCATGTCTATCAGCTGCTTTAGAATCTCACTGCGGATAAATGTTTTTGTTGACTGTAGCAACAAATATCCCCCGATAATACATATTAGGAATACTTTGTGTGTTTTCATTAGTTTTATTTAAAAGTCAAAGTCTTGAAGAACCTCTAAAGTTTTAAAAACGTGTATTTTATAATCTGTATTCTCGCGAATAAACTCGACTAAGAGGGTGAGGAAAATATGTCATAGAACTCTCGCACGGCTTTAACAAAAGATTTGGCAGTATCAAATTTAACTTTCTAGCGGTCGAGTCACTTTTGAGTTACTGTTACCAAGGCAACACACCATTTACACAATTTAAAAATTTAATAGTTATAAAGTTATATATAATAATAATACAGTAAGGTTCGCAACTTTCGCATACTTTCTTTATATCGACATTCGACATTGCGATCATATTCAAATAAAGTGATCACATTTCACTAAAAGCCATGAAATAAAAATAAACCCAACATTTTTGACCAATCTGAATATTTAGAAACCTTGATGCACTCGTCTAACACTCTGAGCCCTATTATGCAGTATGCACATTGAACCCAAAAGTAACTTTCGTCATTAATACAGGAATCAAGGTTTAACCACCCCCAGATCATAGCAATCGGTAATGTCCTTGAAAGGAATTAGTGATCTGTATCCACCCTTATTTCGCTGTCTTAGGTGTTAACCGTTACTAAGGTAACTGTTACCAGGTTAACGGTTACCTCTGTTATTGTAACTAGATATCTTACCTCATTACTAAGCAAGTACCAGCAGCTTCTCTAGCATCCATTATTTCTTCCACATCGCTCAGCTCCCGCTTCTTTAATCTAAATTAAGTCACAGTATACTACATTTTTATATCAAGCACTAACAAGTTAAATCAGAGATTGGACAAAGGATAATCTTTAAACTGCAGTCACTTACGTTTTGATTACAGAAGCAAGACCTGAGCAAACAGGACACAAGGGAACTGGCTTTATTGGGGCATACACGTCCTGACCAACATTCCAGAGAATTTCAGTAGCTGTGCTCACGTGACCTTCACTTACTTGCTGAAATCTTGGCATCCTTAAAGGATCAACCATTCAATTAAAAGTTCAAGTTCCAGAAAAAGCTTTTTTAAATGGGAAATAACCAAAATGTATGTAAATATAAACTTTCCTGAACCAAAATTTCATTTTTTTGACGGAATCACACTGCTCCCATCACCTCAATTGTGACTTGCGTCACTCAAACTGACCTCACTGATTGGTCAGTGGTCAAAAGTTCTGCCAAAAGTGTGAAATTTCTGGCTAACAAACAGCGGAAAAGCTTCTGTTAAAAAATCTCCTTCTGATTTCTGTCGATTTTCTGATTATCAAAGTTCTCTTTCATAATCTAGCTTTCAGTACCTCATTCGTGTCTTGTACCATCCAGAGTAAACTCACAAATTGGTTATTGAAGAACAATTCAGTCAAACAGTGAAATTGTGGTCGAGCAAAGCTGATATCTGAAAATATCCTACCGGTAGGACATTTTCAGAATTTTCATTCCATCAAAGTTTTTACCAGATATACAGGTTCCAGTACGTTGATGGCGACTTCTGTCACTCTCACCGACCTCACTGATTGGTCCATGGTCAAAAATTCAGTCAAATTTCGGTCAAGGAGATGGCAGAAAAGCATCTCTTCAAAAGTCTTGCAAAATCTCTTCTTATATTCTGATGATTTTCCGTTTTTAAAAGCTTTCATTGGAAATAGAACTTTCAGTACCTCAATTGTGCCTTGTGCCATCCTCACTTACCTTGCTAGGTGGTCATACAAGAAAAATTCGGTCAGAACAGTGAAATTTGGGTCGTGAAAAGCTGAAATATTAAAATGTCCCACCGGTAGGACATTTTCAAAATTTACATTCCATCAAAGTTTTTACAGGTTATACAGGTTCCAGTACCTTGATGAAGACTTGTGTCACTCTCACCGACCTCGCTGATTGGTCACTGGTCACAAATTCAGTCAAAATTGTAAAATTTCGGTCAAGGAGACAGCAGAAAAGCTTCTCTTCTAAAGTCTTGCAAAATCTCTTCTTTTATTCTGATGATTTTTCGTTTATCAGAGCTTTCTTTGGGAATAGAACTTTCAGTATCAATCGTGTCTTGTGCCATACATTGACCTTGCTAGGTGGTCATTCAAGAAAAATCCAGTAAAAACAGTGAATTTTTTATCGTGGAAAGCTGAAATTTGAAAATGTTGACATAATCTACAACATTTTAGACCAAGGGATACTAATTTGGCAGCTGTAGTAACAAAGACAAAGGTTAATATGTCAAAATGAAACTACGCTTTTCTGGAAGTGTTCAAGCTAACAGTGCTCTAGATAACCTTGGAGTTCTCCCCAAAGAAAGAAAGTGCAGCGGAGATTACCTCAAGAAAGAGAAGAGGGAATAAGCTCGTTTATGTCATGAAAAGAAGACGAAGGAAGATGAATGCTAGGATACGTGCATTACAGGAAATGAATCCTAGCTCGAGTTTAATCCCTAAACTGAAAACGGAGGTTTCACTGCTGTGTTACTTCATACAGGAAGGGACCCTTGAGAAACTGAACAAAGAAGAACTCCGGGCAGTCGATGCAATAAAGAAGAACCCCAAATACTTCTTTTCGTATGCCAAGCGTCTCCAGAAGACCAGATCTACGATCCCGGTGTTGAGAGATGAGACTGGGGTATTAGTGGACGACCCCAGTATCAAGGCAGAGTTACTTCAGAAGCAGTACCAGAAGGTATTTAGTAACCCTATGAGTGCCGATATTGATGAATGTATGAAGAGTCAAGGATTACCTCAGGGACTGGATTCCGGATTCAACGAGCTAAGCTTCACAAGAAAAGATATCATTGAAGCATTAGGAGAACTGGATCCCTATTCGGCCGCACCTGACGGAGAGATTCCTGCTAGGATACTCACAGCCTGCAAAGAACAACTTGCAGACCCCCTTACACTCCTCTGGCAGGAATCGTTCAGCAGTGGGTATATACCAGCGGAATTAAAGACCCAATATATCACCCCTATCTATAAGAAGGGGGACAGAACGGACCCAGCAAACTATAGACCAGTGTCTTTAACCTCGCACATCATAAAGACATTTGAGCGTGTAATCAGAAAAAACCTGGTTCGTCATTTGTAAGAGAACATGATGATCAATACGAACCAGCATGGGTTCAGAAAAAAGAGGAGTTGCATGACGCAGCTTCTCAGTCACATCGAACAGATCTACAAATCACTCAACAATGATGAAGAAGTTGATGTGATTTACCTCGACTTTGCCAAAGCTTTTGACAAGGTCGACCATGCAGTGCTGCTAGCCAAGCTTGGTCGATACGGAATTGGTGGTCAGGTTTTAAGGTGGATCAAAGAGTTTTTGCTAAACAGAAAACAAACAGTCGTTGTTGAAGGTCGCAAATCATCCTTCCAGCCAGTGGCAAGTGGGGTGCCACAAGGGACAGTCCTAGGACCGATCCTATTTATCCTGTACATCAACGATCTGTTGAACAGCATTAGCTATAGTAACGGATTCAGCTTTGCAGACGACACAAAGCTGATTGGGGCTATCCGAGGAATGAGTAGTGTGGAGTTACTGCAAGATGATCTCAACATAGTCATCGAGTGGTCACGTGTTAACAACATGGAGCTACACGAACAGAAGTTTGAGGTTGTAAACTACCCCCTGAATGGATCAAACGCTCTAAGAGAGCTCCCGTTCTACCCAGAGACTGTTGAGTATACTACACCAAAAGGACACGCAATATCATCACAGGAAACTGTCAGAGACCTTGGAGTGTATGTTAGCAGCAGTAGGTCATGGGGTCCTCACATTGAGAAGACAGTTCAAGGAGCTAGAAAAATGGCGGCTTGGACATTGAGTGCCTTTAGAGACCGGTCACAAGTAGTCATGCTGACTTTATACAAAAGCATGGTTCGCTCCAAGCTAGAGTACTGCTGTCCAGTCTGGAACCCTACAAAAGTCACAGAGATACAAAAGCTGGAGACTGTACAGAGATCCTTTACTAGAAAGATATCTGGCTGCCGTGATCTCCAGTACTGGGACAGGCTGAAGAAGCTTAAGTTGATGTCCCTCCAGAGGCGGAGAGAGCGTTATTCTATTATTCATGTATGGAAAATTCTTAATGAACATGCTCCGAACGATACGGGCTTCGAGTTCAAGTCTCATCATATATATATATATAACTCTAAAACTCTGGCCACAAGAGCAACTGCCTAAACGTGCAGAAGTGAAAACAAATAAATAAAATATACTAGCAGTCCTTAATACTCGTAATAAATAGATTCATTCAATGTCATAAAACTCTTAACCATACACGTGACCAGTAAAATAATTTAATTGGTCTATAGACTACTGTATAAAATTCTCAATATATAAACTTTATTAACAATAATAAATTAGTTAAAATAACACCAACCTTTGGTGTATAAATGAGTAAACAACCTCTATTTGTCGTAAAATATCTTTCATAATATTATAGTATATGCTATAATATCAAAACTGTTTATTAGAGTTCAGGTAACAGAATTTAACTGTAATGGCACCTCTGTAGTATTATCCGTTGTTGAGATGTAACCATTTTTTCGTCCGGTCTTGATTAACCCGGTTCACGATACATATGCTTCGTCCGGTCTAACATTGAACCCGGCTCACTAATCATAGGGATGGTGTAGTAGTTGGAATATGACACACTGTTTACAGTTTTATCTCTGTTCGAAGGAATTCTTCTGCATCCCTTGTTATTTCAACCGCTAAATCAAAGAACTCACGAAGTCTGCTCCATGATATTAACATTGAATTTCCACCATAGCCCTGGTTAAAGATGTTGTGGAATGGGTGTCTTTTGAGAAGCTCACTCATGCTGTTCCTTTTATTTAGTTTTATATCATGACAGAAGATAAGCAGGTGAAGTGAGTTTTGCTCCCCTCGTCCACATTCACACAGTGGAGAATCAAATTTGCTGCTGTTGAACCGGTGAAGAAATTCATTCATGATGTTGTTGGGGTAGAACAGACTTAGGAATAGGGTTTCAAGTTGCCTTGTTGTTTTGGGCGGAAACTTAAGCTTTGTGGTGCTCACTGTAGGTGCCTCTGTATAACCTTCCAACTGATACTGGCTGTTTACGGAAGATTGCCAAAGCTGTTCACTGTAATGTTTCATAACCAATTTACTGTAGCTGCATCCTTTTGTTGATAAACTGGAGAATTTCTCAAGGTCATGGTTGTTTATGATGTTTTGATCCTCCTTGGTGAAGTGTTCAGGGTGTATCGAAGATTTCCACAATAGAAACTGAAATACATCTTTTATCTTTCCAGTGAGTGGGCTATAACTGCCTGATTGGGTTTGGGCATCGATGAGTTTTTTCAGTGGATCCTCTATATCAGGAAATATATTTAGTTTTAGGAGGTGCTTCACCGAGTTCACTTTGTTTGATATGGTTAGTGGCAACACACCTAATATCATTTCAGCTGTGGACATTCTTACATTGAACACTGCACCCAAAGCTGCCTTAATAGTCCTATACCAAGCACTTTCGACTTCTTTGATACTTCGATTATTGATCCAGACAGTTCCAGCGTAATGAATTCGTGAATATATGAGAACTTCAATTAGCCTGACGATGACATGTTGTCTGAATCCCCAGTTGCGGTTTGTATATTTGCATATTGTAGCCCACCGGCCAAGTATCTTTCTGTTAATATCCTTTGCATGATCAATGTAAGTGAGCTTCCTATCCATTATCAAGCCTAATACTTTGGTCTTTTCGACAAACAGGATCTTGTTGCTGCCAAGATGAAATGACACTGGAAGAAGCTTTGCATCGTTTTCTGCGGTACCAAATCCAATTAGTTCAGTCTTTCCAGGATCACAGTTTATTATCATTCTCCACGTTATACTCCATTTATAGATAGCATCGCATGTCATTTGTAGGTTCAGAAGACACTGGTGTGTGGTTTCACCTCTGACTCTTAATGTTCCATCATCTGCAAACTTGTAAACCCCTATATCTGGGTTGAGAGAAAGTCTCATCAAAGGCATGGTATTAAGGCAGAGATCCCAGCCATGAACAAAAGCGCACAGTTGTCGGTAAGAACAGATTACGACAACAGATTTAGAGTTAGAGCAGCTCAGCTCTTCAACGTGCTCCCATCGGAGCTCCGGAGTATCACATTGCTAGACAGTTTCAAAGTTGGTCTAAGCAGATTTATGGAACAGTACCCAGACACACCACCGGTTCCGGGCTACACTCCGACAAACGATAACTCAATGCTGAGCTGGAGGAGGACGCACTCGATGCAGTTGTCCTGAGCACGCCCTGCCAAACTCACCAAAACGTACCAAAACGTACGTACTAATTATGTCGAACACGCTATAATAATAATGTCGATTTGATTTGATTTGTCGAACTTTCAATGAACATGTCCTCATATGAAATATTGTCCATATTATTTATATCAAGACTATTCGATGCTATCATATAAGTTGCAACATGCAAAGCAGCTAGGACTCCAATACAAGCTTTGGATCGAGCACACGTCAATAAATTATAAACCTACAACTAGGTTGACTGACGATGTCAATCATTCATCGCTCACAGCGGCCTAGTAGTGCTTTGTATCACGTTGCGACCCCCACGGTCGTTTCACTTTATCGTCCTGACGATACAGGGGGAGCCGCGCACTTCGTGCGCGGCGGGTCATACAACGTATGACAAGTAGTGCTTAACTATTAACTTTAAAATATTAAATTGGGTCGCCCTGGGGCTGTCCTTATTATTTAATTTATAATTCTAGTTTAATTCATAATCCTAGTTTTTGTTAATTTGTATACAAAATAACTTGATAAAAACTGAAATTAAAATTGTGAATTGTAAATTTTATTTTATTTTATTTTCAGTTATCTCAAAATAATTATTTTGGACCGCATAAAAGTTCGCACTTTTATTTTTAGCATTTAGATTGGTTTTTCGTCCCCACCGAGTGGGACGATGCTTGCTCGCCAATTAAGCTATACTTTAGATGACACTAATTTCTACAAACCACAAAATATTAAATATAAAATGTGTCCAGTATGGCGCAAATGCATAATTTGATAATTTCTCGACGCTGTCGTCGGGGTGAGAGTTATCTGAACCAACTGCATGCCCCTACGATTGCGTCACCACTGGTGAGCAAGCATTTGTTTGTTGTTTAGTTGTGTTGGAAGGGAACATTACTTGATTAATTCATCCATTAGGATTTTAATAACGATGAGCTAAGATATACCGTTCATCTTAGACTATTGGATCAATCTTATTATATGATTAGATTTTATAAACGAACCTGGCATACAAAAGATTGTAATGCGGAGGTTGGCTGGCTCTTTTATAATAAATACGACACTCCAACTTACAGAATGCTTGCTAGAGATAAAACAAAATATTATCAGACTATACATGCAGCATGAGTAACTGGTGGATAAGCCTTCGGTAAAAACGGATCCGGAAAAGTCAATGCGGCACTCGGGTCTTTGGTATTGTCGTCGGTATATTGTCCATTATTTACGTTCTGCTTTCATAGTTCAAACAATAGTGAGCTCTAAATATACAGCTTTAAACCGATTAAGTATGAATGAATGAAATACCTGACAATCCGCACTCCTATAATTCAAAAGCATGAGTAACTCGTAGTGATGTACGATTTCTAGAAAGTTTAAATTAAATTTGGCGCTCACAGGTCCTCGTGATCATGTGATCGCCGCATAATGTTCTGTAAATGCGCAGGGCACCTTCAAGCTTAAATTATTCACCATACTGAGGCAGTCAACCAACGCGCGGCTTTATTTTTATGATATGATATGTTTTGATTGTTATTAATAAATACCAAAATTTAAATTTGTTTTACTAAATTTGTTTTACTACTAGGTTAATAACCTATACCAAGACTCACGCCGAGTTGAACTCATCGACGGTGAAACAAATATTTTACGAGTACCACCCCACACCCGTTAATTAAATTGGCTGAATTGTATTACGTGAATGGCCATAACCCGAAGCTTGGAATATGTATGCTGTAACGCGTGTAATCAATATAACTTTAACGGGTGATACTCGTAAAATAGTTGTACTCGTCCAATATTTGTTCCGTCGGCGAGTCCAACTCGGCGCGCGTTCTGCTAGGTTATAAACCTACAAATATTACTATAAGTTTAAACATTTTTGTTTGGATCGTAGACAGATGTTACTCGTCTAATATATCTTCGAAGTAACGCGCGCCGCTTTCTTCTCGAGTGTCGAGGCAAGTGTTACGAAGTAGCGCGCGCCGGGCTAGCTCATTAATGATCAATAATGGACAAATCAAAAAGCGCGCTAAGTTGGATTCTTTGACCATTGATTACTGGGCCGCGCTCAGCCTGTCATTCCGCCAAATCTTTATTATATCTTTTATTCTTTATTATGTTAATGAACATAATAGCCTGGGGTCCTCAGGTAAACCATCGACGGTCTTCCGGAGTATTTGGAAAATATATTTTTACAAGTATCACCGTTAACAAAATCGCAGCAGATAAGAGCTACGGCCTGGAAATAATTTTAAATATAGTACAAGCAGTTGGATAAATAATTAATTTTTATCCATTGAATTGATCCACAAACATTGTTACACCGCACCAGATGTGCGCGTTTTTTGAGGTTCAAGGTTACATGAGAGGCAAAAGAATGGACAACAAATATGGGACACCTTTGTCATAGAAGTCTCTTACAACCTCATCCCTGCCACTATGATTGACTAGATGTGTATATGATATTAACAATTAACTGATTGTTAATATTTCATATATAATATTGGTAGCATGGCAGTGGATAATTTCCTTTACCTCTGTGTTGTGCTTTGTCAATTGCATCACTCGACTTAATTTATTGTGTATATACTGTTTGACGCATTTTTCTATTCAACTATGTATATCTAGACATTAACCATTGAAACTTTGTAGCGCGATGCGTTACTGTGCCGCGCCGAGCTGCCATGAATTGACATCGTCAATTAATTGAAACTCGAACAGTTGAAATGCGTACCGTCCAAAGTGGGCATTTATTTATTTTCCGTGTACAGTTTCATTCCTACTCCTAGATCATTAAAAGTCGTGGAGTGTTTGATGCTCGAGGGCCTGAACCGCTAGTTGTTGTGAATTGAATCTGTGGAATGTCATTTTTAGTTGACCGTTTTATATATTACAAAGGGTTTTCTTGAAACTTGATGTTTTGATTGTAAAAGAGACCAACAAATTATTTGTCAAAGTTTGCAGGTTGTTATAATTGTGCGTGCTGAAAACTTTCTTCAGTGGAATAGTCAGTAGAATATTCTGTGAACAGCTCCGTTAACTGCTTTGAGTGCCCTTTGTGACATGTAGAAATCTCTTAAACGTTTATTATATTTTCATTGCATCCGATTCTTGTTCTAGAACTTAATTTTTATGCTTTGGCAATTTTCAACGTTTACATTGTTTGTTGGTAACCAGCCAGTTTCTCAAAATTGACAATTACACTGACTGGCAGTGCCGGATAGGCACAATCTAATTAAGTGTCCAAAGTATTTTAGGTTTTTTCATCATGCTGGCATGTCACACATGCCGAAGAAGTCTGCATCCCTTCGTGTCTAGCTCTTTCTTTCATGGTTCAACTACGAAACTTTGCAACGAGAGGCGACCTCAAAGACTTCCTTCTGTAAAATCAAGCAATCTTGCAGTCTTCAGTTCACCTGGTTGGCTGGAGAAATATGCCCGTTACATAGGTAAAGAAGTGAAATATACCCATGCTTTTCTCTTTCCTCATCTTGCTCTGAACTTATCAAACATGGGTGCTCCCTATCTGGACTATTTTCATCATCCAGGAATTGCTGTGGGATTGGCTATTGGTGTCTGTTCATATCCTGTACTTTTTCTATTTGCTCCAAGGATCACGAATCTTTTATTTGATGAGGGTAGTTCAAAAATTAAGGTAAAGACAGCATTCTGTCAGCAGAATCTTGAAATACCTATGAGTGTTTGTACATTTAACCCTGATCAATGTTCTCTTATTGTGAGCGGACAGAGATATAAGTTTTCAATAGGGAAATTCGATGTAAAGTGCTTGACTATCTTGAAACAGTCTTTGAGGTCATCAGACAAAGAATCAAATAAAAGCAGCAATCAGCATTCTAATTCGAGATTCGATTTGATGTGGAACGAAGTTACATCTTCATCTTACATCATTGTATTATCAATTTCGATTGCTTGTCTTATTGTACATGGCTTTATTTTTGGATATACAGATTTGATGTACTCTGTTATAAATTTGATAGCTCTTATTGACAAAGAAAAGGTTATGGAGAAATGGAAACCTCTTATAAAGTGAGCCTTGATGTTCCTTCTGGGTGCTTTTTGTTTCAAATTGTGGCTTAATTTATGTAACCTATATTTAAAAAAACATGTGAATCAAATCGAAATTTAAAGTTTATTTTGTTTAAATACTTTTAAACCGTATGTTTTTGTTTTTTAACAATTCGTTTTACTTATTCTCAAAAATTGATTATCTAGTCTAAAGTAAAAATCCGCAATTCCTTAGTTGTTTTGTGACTCATATGACAGTTAACAATTATTATTGGTATCACACAGGCTACATAATTTATTGGACATTCCAAGCATATTTAATATGAGTCATGATTGAAAAGTTTCTGAATGGACATTTTCCATTGCTTGTTTTGTGCTCTGCCAAATGCAAATTACATGATTCGATTGTTTGTATCACTTTGTATACTCCTCCTTTATTAGTCGGTTATTTAAATCACACTTTAAAAATGATTTATAATCGGAAATTTTCAATTATAGAAATGGAGAACGAGGGGGTCCAGGATGAGGACCACCACGAACATCACCGGCAGGAACACCGGCAGGAACACCGGCAAGAACACCGGCAAGAACACCGGCAGGAACACCGGCAGGAACACCGGCAGGAACATCGGCAGGAACAACAGGAATCGGATCAGGGAGAGGACCAGCAACAACACATACAGGGTCACGTGATAGAGGGCCAGATAGTTGATGGCAGACTTGTTACGGCTGATGGACAGATTGATGGCCAGGTTGAGGAGATCGTAACTCCTGGAGAGCTTGGGGGAGAACATATGATCAACAGTACGTATTTAAATTAATTGATACAGGGTGTTCCAAAGTAGACGACCTACTGATTTTTGTTAATAATTCGCCTCATTTTTAACTTAACGACTTCCCGTTTCGATGTCTTATTCGAGATAACGTGATGTATCCAAACTGTTGAATGAGTTTTTTTGTATAATAACTTTAAGTTCCTCTCCAGTTCCAGAAGGAAGTCAGATTGTGATAGTTAGTCAGGACTCAAGTGAACTGGGTTCCCTACAAGACATGACTAGTCACCCTATTGTTATCTACAACGAGGTATGTTTCTTCTTTCTCCTTCTTTTTACATGTAACATGTAATAGTACAGATTAGGTAAATAAAATTGCTTGTACGATAACAATGGTGATTGATGAACTCTTGATACCTAATTTGTATTTGAATGTAATATACCGACTGCCGAGCTTCACTGATAACTTGCTTTCAGGACGGCTCGTCAGTAATTTGTAACAAAGTCACGTACTCTGACAACGGAGTGGTGGTGTTTTCCACTGACCAGGAAATTCAGTTACCTGAGGGAGCTGAACATGAATATTCTTCTATCCCTGCCATATCTGACCAGCTTCCAGAAATGTTACTCAGCAACGAGGGTTAGCAGTAACAAATAATATATTTGATAAAAGTTACACTATCTGATGATTACAATAATACCACCATCATTTTCTTACTACAATAAAATAAGTAGATAACACTCGACTAAACAAATTTCAGTTTTGAACGTTTAATGCTTGATTAAGACGTCGGTCATAGAAGCACTAGCAATTTTACTTCACATTTGTAACAAATAAAGTAGGGATTATTCATACTCGGTACTCATCCTGGTCCATTCAGGACATCAAGTGGTACAAAAAGATGGGGGATCAAGGAATGACGTAGATATTCAGTATGGTGATAACTCGATAGAGATAAGACTGAAAGAAGATCAGATGCCAGAAAAGCACGGGTTAAAGAGAAAGGCTAGTCGAAGAAAAAGACCCCCACAAGAAATGCACCACGGAGGAGCTCAGAGTTCAGGAGGTTATGTTATAGAGGAGGAGATAGTACATCCTAGAGGGAAGAGAGGGAGGAGGTCTAATGCGGAGAAGAGACAAATGAGGGAGAATCAGGAGAGAGAACAGACCAGCCCTTCTCAGAGCCCTAAGAAGAAATTTATGAGGTTTTTATGGTTCCCGGACTTTTCTTTGCATATTGCATGTTTGTAGTTTTCTGATTTTGTGTAGACATTTTATTTTGTTGATCCCACTTTTTTGAAGCTCAATTTTCATAACCTGGTGATGGATAATTTAAGCGACTCTACTAACTGCTCTGTACAGGTTACCCAAAAGAAGAAGTGGGAAGTACAAGAAAGGAAATGCCCAGATTGTGGAGTCCGGGGATGATTACATTGAGCCAACTCACCAAGTTATCGCTCACGTTATTGAGGAGCATATAGAGGGATATGATGGTAAGCAACTGTGCTTGAGTTGAACTTGATAACTAGGTTTTGCGATGATATTTGCGCTTCGTACCCTGATCTACTTATAATTTAACCGTAACTATTATTAACCCTCACTATTATCCTTACTATAACCCTTACCTAACCCTAGAGTCTACCCTTAGTGGTCAGGCTTCCTGAATACTGCTAAGATCTAGCCACATTTTACTTTACTTAGTTTCTTGGTTCTTCTCTTCCTGCACTCTTTTTTATTCATGTTTAATTATGAAACTATGATTATTTAGCACCCTTCGAGAAGTCTGTAGGACTGTCCTGATCAAACATCTTTATTCTTGTACTTTTTAATGATACGCACTTCCGGAATCCGGAAATTGTTCTTTATAAATTCCATTATAAAATCAGGCTTTTTAACGTGTGTGTTACGTGTGTATTCCGCAGGTTCCGCACTAACGACCGTGTTATCAGGAGAAGAGTTAGAGGAAGGAGAAGGAATGCAAATAGTACTGGATGAGCAGGGTCAGGAGCGGAGTGTTCAATATATTGAGGAGGAACACTCCGAGTACCCTGGTGGCACTATGGAGGTAACCAGATAATACTTACACACTACTTACCTAGTACTTACACACTACTTACCTAGTACTTACACACTACTTACCCAGTACTTACACACTACTTACCTAGTACTTACACACTACTTACCTAGTACTTACACACTACTTACCTAGTACTTACACACTACTTACCCAGTACTTACACACTACTTACCTAGTACTTACACACTACTTACCCAGTACTTACACACTACTTACCTAGTACTTACACACTACTTACCTAGTACTTACACACTACTTACCTAGTACTTACACACTACTTACCCAGTACTTACACACTACTTACCTAGTACTTACACACTACTTACCCAGTACTTACACACTACTTACCCAGTACTTACACACTACTTACCTAGTACTTACACACTACTTACCTAGTACTTACACACTACTTACCCAGTACTTACACACTACTTACCTAGTACTTACACACTACTTACCCAGTACTTACCCACTACTTACACACTACTTACCTAGTACTTACACACTACTTACCTAGTACTTACACACTACTTACCCAGTACTTACACACTACTTACCTAGTACTTACACACTACTTACCCAGTACTTACCCACTACTTACACACTACTTACACACTACTTACCTAGTACTTACACACTACTTACCTAGTACTTACACACTACTTACCTAGTACTTACACACTACTTACCTAGTACTTACACACTACTTACCTAGTACTTACACACTACTTACCCAGTACTTACACACTACTTACCTAGTACTTACACACTACTTACCTAGTACTTACACACTACTTACCCAGTACTTACACACTACTTACCTAGTACTTACACACTACTTACCCAGTACTTACCCACTACTTACACACTACTTACACACTACTTACCCAGTACTTACCCATTTTAATATGTACACAATACTCCACAGCATGGCAATCAACACAACTCTTGCTCAATGCACTCGTTTTTACTCAACTACAAATGTCATGTTCCCAGGTTATAGTATCCAACAAGGGAGTAAACCGTGCACGTGTCCCCAAGAAGCAGCACGTGTCGCGCCCTATGCAGGTGGTGGCCGCTACCCCGCCACAACAACAACACACAGTCCAACAACCTCCCCCTCGCTCTTACATGGAGGAGGAGCACTTGTCAAGGAGACACAGCAAGTTTGATGAGACCCAGCTCGCCTTACCCGGGCACAGATACCACGAGGACAATCAGCTTCAGGTTTTTGAGAGGCCTGGTGTTCTTAAAGTTCCTAAAGATAGTAGTACATGTTTGATTTAATAGTGCATTCTAATTGTTATTTTTTACACTGAGACGTAACACTGTAACATTCTCCTCCTCAGACTGTTACTTCACCTCAGAATGTTACACGCAGTAAGTTCTGGAAGGAAATCGAGGAGTGGGTCCCGGAACCCAAGACTAAGAGGATGAGACTTACTCAGGAGGAAATGACGGCTCAGCCTGAAGAGAGTTTTCTACCTCTCGACCCTTACTTTATGGGTTTGTTATTTTAACCATATATACTGTTCAAAACCGTACAGATTCAATCATTCCGTATTATATTTACGGCATTAATATAATATGAATCGCTGAATAAATTGTATGATTGAAATTAAGAATGACAGTTCTGTAATAATTCTAAAAAACGTTATTGTAATTTGTATTTCTTCAATGACTGACGTCGTCTGCCCCAAAATACTCTGGGGCACGAGGTCACATTAATTCTAATTCCACTCGCTAGTAACTATAGTAACTATAGTAACTATAGTAACGCCTATAGTAACCCCTACTCTCCTCAGTTTGTGATCCGTTACCATGCAGTCACCCTGAGTGTCGTCTGTACCCGACCCTGCTCTACCTGCGCGAGATATACCCACGTGGGCATGGTATTCGTCAGATGTTCCACTTACCTGAGGGTATTGAATCACGTGTTGCGGAGGACAACACCATCAGCGCGTGTCCGAGCAAGGGCTTTGGGGCGGGAGTTATTATTGGATGTGTGGTTGGCAGAACGGTGACGCTGCAGGACGCTGCTACTCACAAGAAACCTGACTCACTTTGGCCTGTAAGTACATTTTGTATAGTGATATTTGTTTAGTTTGGCGTTTAAATGCAGTCATTGTAAATGTGTAAATCAATAATCATCATATTCTGAAACATCATAGCTTTTGAGTAGTATTACACGGAATACTAAATATAACCTGTTACAGGTGTATGTGGATAGTAAGATTCATCACTACGTTGACACTAGTTCCAGGGTTCATAGTAACTGGACTCGGCTCGTTAGACACAGTTCACTCAAGGAGATTGTTAATCTTGTTGTTCTACAGGTATTTACTTTCTGTTCTAATATTTACCACAAACTATTAAACTTATTACTGTCTACCCTCAACTGTTCAGTTATTTACCTCGACTCTATTGGCTTTTTAACTCTTGTATCTTAATTAATATGTACAACAACAGAATACCCCAAATTCATGCGAACAACAAACATACTGTAAATAATCTTAAATCAATTTTGATTTTAATGATTTAACCTGATAATCATTTCCTCGCATCACTTTATCTCTGTAATTAAAACTAAGTTATAAGTGTTTATCAAGTTAACAATACTTTCTTGCAGTCCTTTGGAACTCAATATTTGTTAACTGTAAGACGAATTGATGCTGGAGATGAGCTTGTAGTTTGGACCAATAGGAATCTATGTATGGACACTAGTGCTATGGATTTCCAGCAGCTATCTTGTCCTGGTATGTTCAATAAAATGCCACTTTCATATCATTTTTTATAAATTACCATTATATTACTACAAAAATAAGTCGGTTGCTTATGTAGCGTAAATGGTGAGCACATCATAATTATTGACGCAATGGATGTGTAGATATCCAAATATCAATAATTCATTCTAAGTGGAGATAATTCAATTACACTGATTACTTATACTCTGACGAATATTACTTATTATATTACTTATATTATATATTATTATATTATAAAGAGCTGAAGTTTGGTGTTTGTTTATTTCACCTATGCTTGAAAATTAATATTTCAACCTTGAACATGTTTGGAGTTAATATTTAATTTTCTGAATATCACAGCCATTATTCAAATTGTTTTATAATTCTCCTTCCCAGGAATATACTGGAGACAGCGTACACTACGTAAGATACACTATCACGTATGCTACGAATGTGGGTCTATGTTCAAATCTCCAACCGGAATACAAGATCACGTGCGACACGTTCACAACAGCATACCTCACAAACCGACTATTGTTACTGCTGAACCAGATAGGGATAACAAGGAGCTCAAGTGTGCGACTTTCGATCCTGCGGGAATAAGTGAGTGTTTAATGCGATATTATGGTGAATGTTAGAAGTTTATAATGTATTGTACATGGTTGTTTTTAACCTGTTTTGGATAGTCGGCAACAAGGTTACCTTCCTTGTATTCAAGTGCCACATAATTGTATCTGATTCTGTTTCGTTACTGGCTCGTGCACAGCACACGTGATCCTCAAAATCCCGGCTTTACAAATTTTGGGCGCGAAATTTTTGCACCAAAAAGCATTAAAATATGCTAGTGTCAACATTCACTATAACCGCGTACTAAAAGTACTCCTGTCAGCATTTGATTTTGCGCGCCTTTAGCTAGCTCGCTAGGTACGTAGCGCGCATTTCAACGACTAACGCAATGCCACAACAAATAGAATTTAGATCTTCAATTAATCCAGATGTTTTCGAAACTAATTTGATCAACAATCTTATTTAAATCTATCAACTCAATTGGGCGGATTTTAATAGAATGTGTTTTTAGATTCATGGTCCAATGCAATAATCAGCGATTCCCACCAATTATTGACAAAAAAATGCGCTATTTTCAGTGAAAGATCAGTGCCGAATGTGCGCCTTTATCTACAAGAGATCTTACTCCCCGAAAATTACGAAGGGAGATATGAGACATTACAAGTGTATGACATGCTTCAAGAAGTTTGGTTCTGCTGCCTCACACAAGAAACACATGGCAAACAACAAGCACAGAGTGTCTGCTAAGATACACTCCATCTGCGACTATCTGAGGTATAATCGTAATTATCTTTAGGTTCCTGCTCTATAACTTTGATCTGAACTATATTACAGCTGTATGAAAAGCAGAGACTCATGCTTGACGCCAATAACCGGAGAAAACTGTATATTTTACTCACTAGCTAGACAACGATATGTCGATGTTCATTGTTATATGTGAGCTGAATTAAATCTCTTAATCAGGGAAGCGGTTGAAAAGAAGAGATTACCACTGTCCGACCCTGAAGTAATGGCAGCAGCCAGACCAAGGATACCCAGGAATTCAGAGTACCCCATACCTCCCGCAAAACCGTTCGCTTCCGCTAATGATATCATCATGGTGGACGGGAGACGGTACGACACTCAGGTAAATAACTGTGGTTTTAAACACTGCTCGTGTAAACCTTTACACTCCACACTCAGTTCGTTATATAAAGACGGTTCACTTTGGCGAAGGCTTCAGCGTCTTTAATTTTTACCATTTTAAAGGCTTCACAGTTCACCGTCTTTAATTCATCGCAACACGTCTTTAAATTTGCTGGTAGAAGTAAGGTCAGTGTGTAGAATGTGCTTTATTACATCCGATCTATTTTGAGTCCTGTTGTGGCGTCTTTTATTTTCCAATTTTGAAGCCTTGCCGTCTTTAATTATTTTCATTTAAAGGCTTTGTCTTTATAAAGCGCGTCTTTATAAGACAAACTGAGTGTGCTGCCAAATGTCAGAGTTTACCACCACAGCAGCCAGCTCCTTTGTCAATACAGATTAAATATTACACCGACACGACTTTATCTAACTTTATAATCCATTGCCAGGTGCCACTGACAGATCCATTCTTCAAAGAAATGTTCCAAACGAGAGTAAACACCTACCCATACATTCAGCGACTTCACTCAACAGCAATCACGGAGGAGGACAACTGTACTATGTTGGAGATCCAGGTACTGTTTTTTGTTTCAAAATTCTAGTATCCACTAGTCCTTTTTTGTAATATTAATGTCCTTAGAACACATTAAAGTATTAAGCTTAGGTCACAGGTGCTAGGTAACTATGACAGGTGTTAGAGGTAACCACCAACCAACTAATTGTACTGTTAACAGACCCCCACTCAATAACCACCTCACAATCAACACCCTTATCTACAGTCAGAGAACAAGAAGCCGATGTACACAACCCGACGAGGTCGCCCTCAGAAGGCAGTGAAGAAGATGCTGGAGGAGGCTATCAACCCCCAGGGAGTGACTAGTCCGAGTAAAGCGAGCAGAGACGCCAGAGCCTTCGCTTCTCAGAGGCAGGCTCGAATGTCTCTCAAGGGTAAGTCAGGTCATGGAACGTTACTCTAAAACTTGGTGTAGTAGTTTCAATATTAGGGTGTGTGTATCAGAGTGTAGGAGTGCAATTAACACCACATGCAGTACAGACTTCAATAGTGTAATTACACTACAGTAAACGTTCTATAATAGTATGATGCTGTTATGATACAAGTCTACTTACACTGGTCACCTTTACTTAGTAGTGGTGTTAGCAGCTACCACAGCCTTTAATTCTGATCGATAAATAAAAAGTGGAATCTAAATCAAGAATAAGATTATTGGACTCTTAAATTGCCCTGAAACGTAATTTCACACTTCCTCCTACTTCAGAAGAAGGGCCAAGTAGACGTGATCACGTAGCGGTAAAGCAAGAGAGGAGATCAGAACCTATACACACCCAGTTTAGTACGGGTCCCGAACTCAGCAACTACCCTGCCCCCGCTTCTGATGGTGGGTTCTAGAATCTTACTTACTAAAGCAGTATTATTTTTATGATAACACTCTTGGTAAGTTCCAGCTCAGGATACCGTACATATTTACTGTCGGATGTATTCACCATAGAAGTGTACATTTATCAGGTTTGGAGTTTGGAGTTTTAATTATTTTAAGCCATTACATGAGATATTACCTGAAGTAATCCCCTAAAAGTCACATTACGATCACCAGGATCACAAATCACCATCAAGATATCACCCAAAACACCCAAGATAGAACTAATGGAGGCAGCAAGTAAGTCCTGGCGCGTTGTTTCACCTTCACCGTCATTATAATCATTATCACTTCAATCATAACAATTACCAACTCCTACTTGGTGTGCTAATTGTAATAAGACATATTCTCACCACCTTATATGTTTCAGTGTGGGACAGACCACCGACCCCTCCCCCAGCACTCCGTGAAGACAGAGACCGAGAGCACCCGCGCGACCGAGAGCCTGCCTTGCCTCCACCACCACCCATCCCCATGACAGTGTCTGTACGGAACCAGCGACCACGCATCACAGCCCTTCCTGTGGACACCTGCGGGATGTACGACTTTCACACCCCAGCACCCGAGCCAGGTATAGTTATGTGAAGATATTTCGGTAGTCAGATTTAGGGTTGAATGTGCTCGATTAATTGATTTATTGCGAAAACGTGTGAGGGTCTGAACTCTGAAGTAAGACTGTTTAAGTTTGTTTAGCTCACTATTATAGCGTTATACTACTATACCTAATATGGTAATGACCCCTCACTGACCCCTCACTGACCCCTCACTGACCCCTCACTGACCCCTCACTGACCCCTCCTCTCTCCTACAGAAGAGCCACCACCACCCCCACAAGCTCCACGTTACGAAAACAAATTCGGGGAAGTGTTTGAACCGTATATCGAGTCCGAACCAGCGGTCACAAACCAGGAGAACACTCCAGCAGAGAGTCCTCTACCCGCCACCCCTGTTACCCCTGCTGCTACTCCTGCTCCTAACACTCAAGCAACTCCTCCCTCACCTGTCTTCTCTCCTCCTAAACCAAGCCCTGCTAAATCTTTCAAACCATCCCCTGTTAAGAACCACTCCGCTCCCCTGACATACAAGAAACAGATGGCAGGAAAGACTCTTAAAGCCAGTCTACTGGACGCTTTCAACGACGCCGTGTTCGGTTTCCCCAGTAAAAGGAGGACTCCTGCTAAGAAGGTACAAGACACTCCCACTCCGACACCACCACCCCAACCTCTCCAGGAGAATAGTGAAGGAAATCAACAGACTACCCCGGGATCATAGTGGTCAGCAGACGTTACGTCACTACCTATCTCAAGACAGTTATCATCGAGTCAGAAATTCTTGGTTAAAGCAGCTCTGTGCGCTTACTATTCACTATCGTGACAGGCAACTTTTGATGAGTTCAATTTGTTCGAACTTTTTAATGTATGGAATAGAGGACGTTTTAAGTTGATTGTAGTGTATAAAGATGAACCAACCAGCTAACAATAATTGTATTTGCTTTAACTTTAAGATGTCAAAGACCCAATTTTCTTTCAATTTCAGGAACATTTCCTCGTTTATCCAATAACTGTAGGGTCTGTATTTCTGAGTTTTTAGATGTCTGATAATACAGATTTACTATCCGATTTGATGTCTTGAGTTTTGAAGTTTAACCGGTTAAAGTTATCAGCACAGGAACATACTTCGTTGTGAAGCATTTAAATTCTCGCTCTATGTGTGCAAGTTCCACCGATTTCAACTTTTTAGAGCATAGATTTTTAAGACAATTGTAGACTTAAATAACTCTTAAATAATTGGATTTGTTAACATTATCAAATATTTAAGTATATAAACGATAATATTTCCCGGCAATCATTTCAAGTGAAACTCTTGTCTCACTCAGTCCTGGAACACATGGCCGGATAATTGTAAAGTCTCATGAACTTCTTACACGACTTCTCAATCTCACAGACCATTTGAGAAGACAATCCAGTCTGCCATTTCTTAAGAACCTGGTTGCCATCTTGCCTAGTTGAGCGCCATGTTGTGTTAGTATTTAGTAGCTGAGCTCCTGTTCTCAGGTTGTTAATCCAGGCAGATACCTCTACCGGAGTGTCCTGCTGTAGGAAGCTGTATATTGTGTCCGCCACCTGCTCAGTCTTGGTTGCTAGATCCTCGAACCTAATCGCCAGTACTTCTCCTGTGTGGTGATACCTGGTTGTTATTTGTTCACATTTTTATTGAGACCAGGGTTAATTCAATGATAGGGAGAATACGGAGTATTTATGGAACTGTTTTAAAGTGTTTATCTCAAGTTCAGACATGCAGTTGAATGGTTCTGTTATGATCCTACCTCTGTACTGTTTCTGAAGAAACTCCGCATCCCTGACACCCTGTTCACAAAACAGGCCCGCAGCCCTGCCAACCCCGCTCACATCCCTCTGGTAGGCCCCACCACTGGAGTACAGACGGGGGTACTGTAATCGTGAGTGCAGCACTCCCCGGGGATCCCTTATGAGGTGCAGCACTCGCAGAGACGAGCTCCACAGTTTCAGGGCTAATATCTGCTTAGCGTGCCGTATTCTTATCGTCTGATGTAGACAGGTATTAATCACAGTCTTGTTAAAGATGAAGGTTCTTATTTAAATGGTAGGGCTAGAGACCACGTTTCTATGCCCATGCTGTAGGAGAAATATGTATTTAATGTACCTTAATGACAAGCAGTTCACTGAACAAACATCTAGAGTAGAGAGTATTGTTGTCATGGAAACTAAGAGATCTGTCCAGAAGACCCCAGTATTTGCTGCTACACGTTTTCACGATATCTTCTAACACCTGTCACAAACACGTGTCACTATATATAAGGGGCTCAACCTGCAGCACGTCAAATATCTTTACAAACTGTCGTGACGTCATCAAGACACTGGTGAAGTAGTGACGTCACGATAAGACTAACAATAATACGAGCAGTGTGCTTACTGTGGAGTGCAAGTGTTGCGGCACTTCGTACAGAGGCTCAAACACGTAGAAAGAGGCGGGGTTGTGGTTGAAGAGCTCTCCTAACAAGGAGGACCCTGTCCTGAAACCACAGTGAAGTAGGAACACCTGCTGTCTTGTGGTCTTGTACAGGGGAAGGATGAGGAGTAGAGAGTAGAATATTGTTATCATGGTGTCAATGTGGAACTTGGACCATTAGATCTGAACAAAACTCTAGCTTAGGTTTATGTGAGAATGAGGATATAAAGCGGTGGGCCCAATGCGGTACACGGTAGGAATGTTAACAATTCAAATTGTTTAAGAATAAGATTACGTCGCGTTTCTATTATTCTCGATTCTCAGCTGACCCGGAATTCAGAATTTGGAATTGAGTCACTACATGACACTGAGGCCCGCACAAAAACAAACAATCGTTAAAAAGCTAGAAGCATGCCGATTAAAGCTAAAAAAGTAGAGACATGGGCAGTTTGTAGTCTAAATAAAGCTGCGATCTAGGCCCTGGAGCTATGATAATGATATTGGTCACCTGTAGTTTGTGACTGTGTAGTGCCGTGATACTATTTAGAGGCCTTTATTATGTAGAAAAGTGGTGCTAAACGGTGGGTTGTGATATTAAACGTTGTCGAGCGTGCTTAATCAGTCAGCCCGCAGCAGTTGCAAGCGTAAACCAATTTGGATCGGAATATTTTTGAGCACTAATCCCACATGACATTAACATGATTAATATAAATAGATCCAATATACTTTATTGAAGAGTTATCGACGAACAATGCCTGCTTGAATCACCTGTGATTACAGGCCCATAAAAGGAAGTATGAAGTAGTTCAAATCTCCTGGTCTTAGCACATAGCAGTTGCTTGATCGGAATTACCTGGCACTAGTCTATTATATGTTTGTTTATAGAACCCGTCCCCAATCTCGTATTGGAAAAAAGCTAATATTTAATAGCTTTGCTATTCCCCTGGCCCTTTGTTTAAAATAAAAAAGCTCAATTGATATTCTATACACCAGGAGTGAACGCATAGTAAGCAAACTGCAGATTAACTGGTGACCGCTATTGTTCCTACTTGCCCTTAGAGGTCGTTCACATATTACGTAATCAGCCGAGGGGGAGGGGGTTTCCAAATGCTTACGGGTGGGAGGAGGGGGGTTTGGCCGTTGATTAGTATTACGTAATCAAAATTTTATTTTTTAGTACCTAGTTCTAGAATAATGACAATTTGACAATATTTTAATTCAAATTTCACTCTGTGCTTTCATGTAGCGAGATGCGCTACTGTGCCGCGCCGAGCTGAGATGAATTGACATCGTCAATTAACTCTGTGCTCTGATAGTGATAAAATTTAGAAATTGATCGGATATCCGACTATAGTAAGTAGTTTAAACGGTGATTGGCTTGACGGATGTTACTCGTCTAAATTTCTTTATAGTAGCGCGCGCCGCTTTCTTCTCGAAATATGACAAGTGCTACTTACTGGGCGGCGCTCAGCCAGTCATTTTGACCATTGTTAATGATCTGGCCCGGCGCGCGCTACTTCGTAGCACTTGCCATCGGGCCACATTTCGAGAAGAAAGCGGCGCGCGCTACTTCGAAGAAATTTAGACGAGTAACATCCGTCAACCAGTCATTCCGCCAACTCTTTATTGTTTACGAACATAACAGCCTGGGGTCCCCAAGTAAAAGTGCTACGAAATATGGCAAGTGCTACGAAGTAGCGCGCGCCGGGCCAGATCATTAACAATGGTCAATGATTGGCCTGATATCGACCAGAAATTTCATTAATTTCTAGGAGAAATTCTCGAGGGCTAATAATAATGTCAATGATCAGAGTGACGTGAACTGTAAAGAAATTTGTATCACGTCGTGATCTCCACGGTCGTTTCACTATGGTGGAGTTTCTACGATACTGTGGGAGCCGCGCACTCGTGCGCGGCGGGTCATACAACGTATGAAAAAAGAAATGTAGTTTCCAGGAAAATTTTTAAAATTTTTGACTTTTTAATTGTTGACTTAAAAAATTTTCGGCCCGAGTCATTCTGCGTTCTCGATACATTACATTATCGTTTCATTGTAGCGCGATGCACAACTGGGTCGCGCGCGCATCAAATAATGCTTCTCGCAACCGCAGATCGGCGAGATGCGAAGGATTGACATCGTGAATCAAGTCAAGCCGTGAGGCGGGCGCGCGCTACTGCAAGTGCAAGGGCTCTGGATAGAGCAAGTACTAGTATAGTGTTTATTTTGTATCAATTTCAGAATTTTAAAAAAATTATGTAAAAATATTGAAACTCTTAAATTATCAATAAAATGTTAATAATTAAGTTACCAACGTCTAAATATGTGTAAATTACTCATATTAGAGAAATATTATTGCTTAGCTGCTCGCTGGGGTTTACTGCGCCGCGCTCAGCCTGTCATTCCGCCGAATCTCTGTTAATGAACACGATAGCCTGAGGTCCCCAGGTAAGCTGGGGTGAGCCGGGGTTGCGCTATCCAGAGCCCTTGCGCTTGCAGTGGCGCGCGCCCGCCTCACGCCCGCTCTTGTGAAACAAGCGCGCCCGCAGTGGCGCGAAAGCACATGGTTAGGTAAAAGCCGGGGCAAAAAACATAATTTCGAAATATTAAAAACTACTTTATCCTAATTGCTAAATGCAGCTTTACCTACAACCTAGTAACTATAACTAATTAGTTTATCGTTTGCTCCTCTCGCTGTTCAGCTAGGAAGCTTGAAAGTTGAAAAAAGCGCCGGGCACAGATATTGGCGTGCCAAATTTAAAGCGCAGCTTTGTCTTATTTGGGGACCCCATGCTATAAGTATAATGTACTTGTGCGCGGCGGGTCATACAACGTATATGACAAGTTTCACTAATAATTAGTAGCTAGTATAGACATAGTCTAGTTGATAGTATCGTGGCCACGATATTGCCTGGGGACCTCAGGCTATTATGTTCATTAACCGAATAGAGATTCGGCGGAATGACAGGCTGAGAGCGGCCCAGTAACCACGATACAGTCGCTCACTCGTGCGCCGTGGAAGGTCTACAACGTATGACACTATGACAAGTGGCGCACTGATGATGGTATGACTTGAATGACAGGTAACAGTGGAGTTCCCACCTACGAGTGGTGGCGCGGTGTATGCAGAATATGATTAATGTCAGCATTGCCGCGGACGCGATAGTTCAAACGTAATGAAAGCTAATGTCAGCCGCGCCGCAAGGCTGACATTATTATACTCTGCATATACCGCGCCACCTCTCAGCCACCACTCGAAGGTGGGAACTCCACTGTAATACTCGTCTAAATTTCGTCGAAATAATATGAAGTTCAAAGTAGTGCACGCTGCACTGCTTTTTTCCCCGAAATATTTATCCCAGCACCCATGATCCAGGTCAAGGTGATCTGCGCGCGCACGAAGTAACGCGCGCCGGGTTAGTTAATAAACAATGGCGGATTTAATCATTTTAACGCCGTCAGTTTTAATCGATGGCCTCAATTATAGTATTAGTGCATTTGTGAATTTAGTACTTAGTACTGTACTCAAGTAAATATAGAAATTTTGGTCGATTACATAAAACAATACAAAATTTGTGGACAAATTGGCGGTATCAAAAGTTTCATCGCCCGGGGAAAATATGAAATATGGTCACTTGAAAATAATGTTGTCTATTGAAAATTGATGGTCACTCAAATCTTCAAATTATGGTGGTAGTACTATTCTATTCAATTATATTAATCAGTGCAGCTATCAAATACAATGAGTGATACCCACGTCTTCTTCGTACTATTAGTATTACTCATTCGTGCTATATTTTTGATGAGTTGGAAAACTAAAAAACGCTAGGAAATATCTAATAAATTTTCAAAACGTTGATCTGAAATTTTGTGTAAATGTTACGTCTGTAACAGCTACGTGGCGTTAATCTTTCTTTTAAAATAACGTTAAAATCCCATCCAATGAAAAATCCTTTAATTTATGGATCACATGACACCATGATGATATCATGTTTACACTTTGGAGTTTTCTTGAGCTCTAGGACTGTATTCTGCTGATGAGTATCTGAAAAGAAGTTGAAATAATGCTCCCATAATTAGTTTGTAATACTGCAAAAATAGACTGAGTCTTTACCATTTACATCATGTCCTCAGATGCAATCATAAAAACATCCATCAATTATTCACAACTATAGTATTTCTTAGAAACAATCCTTTAATTAATAATACTTCACACTAACTTGTTCTCTAAGATGTAATTATCGTTATCAGCCTCACTAATACTACTATTGGTGTTGTCATCTTTTTTTCTTGTCTTGATGGCACAGCAGAAGCAGACCAATAAGAACAGAGCTAAGATGAAAATACCCCCGCATACTGCGATTAATATCCACATAATCGTCTTGTTTTCACCTGAACAACGTGTGACCGTTAGTTTCTGTTGAAGTGACGTCATTAACGTAACTTAAATATAACTGCGAGATGCTATAAGTTATCACACGATGTCAATAAGATACTGCGTGACTAAATAACATCTCACGTGACTAAAAGTAAATAACATCACGTGACTATATATTTAATATAACACGACTTACTTTCACACTTGGGTATGATCTGGTGCTCGTGACCAGGCGCACAGGTGTACACAGAAGAGTGAGCTATAGTGTACTTGTCATCACACGTGTAGTACACCACCGCTCCTGCTTCTATCTTACTTCCCATCTGGAGGGAGAGCAGGGTTAGAGAGAAAGAAAGAGAAATAATTAAAGATAATCAACATACTCTTAGTCTTATGAAATGTTCCTGTATAATTATAATCATTTAACAAAACTTTGTCCCACGTGTCATGACATCACACTACGTGTTATGACGTCACACCACATGTTATGACGTCACGCCACGAGTAAAGAAACTCACAGGAATGGTGGTGGTGTTAACGTTGTCCACTTGAGGAACTTCGCAAGTCTTCGTACACTGCGTCTCTGCATTTGAACCCATTGCCAGAGTAGTTTCAGGGGCGGTACATGCGAGACACTTGATGGCACCAGCAGACGGATTGTATGTGCCGACAGCACAAGCCTCACAAGCTCCACTCTTTAGATAGTATCCTCCAGGGCACGCCACTGAGGGGACACGTGGTTATGGGTGGTGGTTTACAAGGGGGTGAGGGGGGGGGGGGGGGGGGGTGAGTTTAGGCTCCAGAATAGATCAAGCTCTTCGAAGGATTAATCGTACTTATATAAAATAAAGGTAGTGATGAGCTTATCGAAAAAGTTGCAAGTGATTTAACCACCAATTAAAATGAAAACAATTTTTAACATTTGTCTTACCACAGAGATTGTTCTCTAAGAATGTATTGGAAGCACAGGTGGAGGTTTGGGCTGCTTTTGTCACAGCACTGGGACTGAATGTTAGAGTAGTTCCTCTCTTCTGAATCTTTAGGCCCTGGATAACACTCCTCTTTTTCTTGGCAGAAGTGATAGTGAAACTGAGGGTATCTTTAGCTGCTGTGATCTCTGTAGCTGAATCAGTCAGTATTGCTGTGTTAGACATGTCCGCAATCTGGTTCAATTTCAACGTCACCTTGAAAGACTTGTCACCGTCCTTAGCACAGGTGAAGTGGGTTATTTCGCACTTTTTGTTCTTCAGACACGATATTTGCTTAACATCAGTAAGAGAAGTAGAGACAGCAGTCTGCATCTTTTTCTGCTCAGTTTCACTGGCACAGTACGAGGTGGAGAAGGAGAGGGAGACTTGTAGGTCGCGGTGGGTGGGTGGTTGGTAGGCGGCACACGACGGGTACGAGTTACGATCCCATACTCCCGTAGACTTGCACTCTATCGGCTGCAAAAAAGATAATTTTGTCATAAACGACAATAATTTTCATTTCACAGTCGTAATTATTTGTTAGATATAAACTTTACATTAAAATATACTTGAGACCGAAAAAAACTTGTTCAATTTATTAAACTTACATCAGTATTTCCCACTGTTCGGTAACCGGTTTCACAAGCTATCTCGCACGTGACTCCCGCTGTATAGCTGGTAACCACCTCGCTCTTAGCATTCTTACAAACCATAGCACCGCTGGTCACGGCGATACTGGCGCACTGATTGCTCTGCTTCTTGACACACTCTGCTGTTTTATCCCAGCCTTTCTCTCCACACTCTAGAGTTCCTTCAGGAGGGAGAATAAGATTTTTAGTATTTTTTACTTTAACAAATCAATATTATCAACCAATTCAATTAGCTTAAAACTAGGTCTATATTCTTGTGTCAGCATTCAGCAAGTGGAAACAATAATCTAGAATGCCTGACTGTCAATATAATTCAATGTTGATCTATGAATTCTAATAGGAACTCTAATAGGAACTCTAATAGGAACTCTAATGAGAACTCAAAATTCGAATAGGAACTCTGTGTAAATACCAGTGCCGGTGTTGGTGTAACCACTGCTGCAGTAGACATGAACCTTGTCCCCCTTCACGTAGGGACCTGAGAAGTCAGCGTACGCTTTACCCCAATGTTCGGTCCCACAGGCGTCCACTATAGCGCTGCACGTTGGCCTGGTGTGCTGCCAGTTGTCATTGTGGCAGGATATCTTCTCCTGTCCGTCCAGTCTGTGCCCAGAGTTACACGTAAATGTGTACAGCTGGTCGTTGAAGAAGGGGGTGGCGGGGGAAATAGTTCCAGATTCAAAGAGAGCGGTAATGTCGGTACAGTCACCTGAGGGAGGGATAGTGGGTGTGAATTGAGAGTAGGTTACAGTCACCTGAGGGAGGGATAGTTGGTGTGAATTGAGAGTAGGTTACAGTCACCTGAGGGAGGGATAGTGGGTGTGAATTGAGAGTAGGTTACAGTCACCTGAGGGAGGGATAGTGGGTGTGAATTGAGAGTAGGTTACAGTCACCTGAGGGAGGGATAGTGGGTGTGAATTGAGAGTAAGTTACAGTCACCTGAGGGAGGGATAGTGGGTGTGAATTGAGAGTAGGTTACAGTCACCTGAGGGAGGGACAGTGGGTGTGAATTGAGAGTAGGTTACAGTCACCTGAGGGAGGGATAGTGGGTGTGAATTGAGAGTAGGTTACAGTCACCTGAGGGAGGGATAGTGGGTGTGAATTGAGAGTAGGTTACAGTCACCTGAGGGAGGGATAGTGGGTGTGAATTGAGAGTAGGTTACAGTCACCTGAGGGAGGGATAGTGTGTGTGAATTGAGAGTAGGTTACAGTCACCTGAGGGAGGGATAGTGGGTGTGAATTAAGAGTAGGTTACAGTCACCTGAGGGAGGGATAGTGGGTGTGAATTGAGAGTAGGTTACAGTCACCTGAGGGAGGGATAGTGTGTGTGAATTGAGAGTAGGTTACAGTCACCTGAGGGAGGGATAGTGTGTGTGAATTGAGAGTAGGTTACAGTCACCTGAGGGAGGGATAGTGGGTGTGAATTGAGAGTAGGTTACAGTCACCTGAGGGAGGGATAGTGGGTGTGAATTGAGAGTAGGTTACAGTCACCTGAGGGAGGGATAGTGGGTGTGAATTGAGAGTAGGTTAAAGTCACCTGAGGGAGGGATAGTGGGTGTGAATTGAGAGTAGGTTACAGTCACCTGAGGGAGGGATAGTGGGTGTGAATTGAGAGTAGGTTACAGTCACCTGAGGGAGGGATAGTGGGTGTGAATTGAGAGTAGGTTACAGTCACCTGAGGGAGGGATAGTGGGTGTGAATTGAGAGTAGGTTACAGTCACCTGAGGGAGGGATAGTGCGTGTGAATTGAGAGTAGGTTACAGTCACCTGAGGGAGGGATAGTGGGTGTGAATTGAGAGTAGGTTACAGTCACCTGAGGGAGGGATAGTGGGTGTGAATTGAGAGTAGGGTACAGTCACCTGAGGGAGGGATAGTGGGTGTGAATTAAGAGTAGGTTACAGTCACCTGAGGGATGGATAGTGGGTGTGAATTGAGAGTAGGTTACAGTCACCTGAGGGAGGGATAGTGTGTGTGAATTGAGAGTAGGTTACAGTCACCTGAGGGAGGGATAGTGGGTGTGAATTGAGAGTAGGTTACAGTCACCTGAGGGAGGGATAGTGGGTGTGAATTGAGAGTAGGTTACAGTCACCTGAGGGAGGGATAGTGTGTGTGAATTGAGAGTAGGTTACAGTCACCTGAGGGAGGGATAGTGGGTGTGAATTGAGAGTAGGTTACAGTCACCTGAGGGAGGGATAGTGGGTGTGAATTGAGAGTAGGTTACAGTCACCTGAGGGAGGGATAGTGGGTGTGAATTGAGAGTAGGTTACAGTCACCTGAGGGAGGGATAGTGGGTGTGAATTGAGAGTAGGTTACAGTCACCTGAGGGAGGGATAGTGGGTGTGAATTGAGAGTAGGTTAAAGTCACCTGAGGGAGGGATAGTGGGTGTGAATTGAGAGTAGGTTACAGTCACCTGAGGGAGGGATAGTGGGTGTGAATTGAGAGTAGGTTACAGTCACCTGAGGGAGGGATAGTGGGTGTGAATTGAGAGTAGGTTACAGTCACCTGAGGGAGGGATAGTGGGTGTGAATTGAGAGTAGGTTACAGTCACCTGAGGGAGGGATAGTGGGTGTGAATTGAGAGTAGGGTACAGTCACCTGAGGGAGGGATAGTGGGTCTGAATTGAAAGTAGGTTAAAGTCACCTGAGGGAGGGATAGTGCGTGTGAATTGAGAGTAGGTTACAGTCACCTGAGGGAGGGATAGTGGGTGTGAATTGAGAGTAGGTTACAGTCACCTGAGGGAGGGATAGTGGGTGTGAATTGAGAGTAGGTTACAGTCACCTGAGGGAGGGATAGTGGGTGTGAATTGAGAGTAGGTTACAGTCACCTGAGGGAGGGATAGTGGGTGTGAATTGAGAGTAGGGTACAGTCACCTGAGGGAGGGATAGTGGGTGTGAATTGAAAGTAGGTTAAAGTCACCTGAGGGAGGGATAGTGCGTGTGAATTGAGAGTAGGTTACAGTCACCTGAGGGAGGGATAGTGGGTGTGAATTGAGAGTAGGTTAAAGTCACCTGAGGGAGGGATAGTGGGTGTGAATTGAGAGTAGGTTACAGTCACCTGAGGGAGGGATAGTGGGTGTGAATTGAGAGTAGGTTACAGTCACCTGAGGGAGGGATAGTGTGTGTGAATTGAGAGTAGGTTACAGTCACCTGAGGGAGGGATAGTGGGTGTGAATTGAGAGTAGGTTACAGTCACCTGAGGGAGGGATAGTGGGTGTGAATTGAGAGTAGGGTACAGTCACCTGAGGGAGGGATAGTGGGTCTGAATTGAAAGTAGGTTAAAGTCACCTGAGGGAGGGATAGTGCGTGTGAATTGAGAGTAGGTTACAGTCACCTGAGGGAGGGATAGTGGGTGTGAATTGAGAGTAGGTTACAGTCACCTGAGGGAGGGATAGTGGGTGTGAATTGAGAGTAGGTTACAGTCACCTGAGGGAGGGATAGTGGGTGTGAATTGAGAGTAGGTTACAGTCACCTGAGGGAGGGATAGTGGGTGTGAATTGAGAGTAGGGTACAGTCACCTGAGGGAGGGATAGTGGGTGTGAATTGAAAGTAGGTTAAAGTCACCTGAGGGAGGGATAGTGCGTGTGAATTGAGAGTAGGTTACAGTCACCTGAGGGAGGGATAGTGGGTGTGAATTGAGAGTAGGTTAAAGTCACCTGAGGGAGGGATAGTTGGTGTGAATTGAAAGTAGGTTAAAGTCACCTGAGGGAGGGATAGTTGGTGTGAATTGAAAGTAGGTTAAAGTCACCTGAGGGAGGGATAATGGGTGTGAATCGAGAGTAGGTTACAGTCACCTGAGGGAGGGACAGTGGGTGTGAATTGAGAGTAGGTTACAGTCACCTGAGGGAGGGATAGTGGGTGTGAATTGAGAGTAAGTTACAGTCACCTGAGGGAGGGACAGTGGGTGTGAATTGAGAGTAGGTTACAGTCACCTGAGGGAGGGATAGTGGGTGTAAATCGAGAGTAGGTTACAGTCACCTGAGGGAGGGATAGTGGGTGTGAATTGAGAGTAGGTTACAGTCACCTGAGGGAGGGATAGTGGGTGTGAATTGAGAGTAGGGTACAGTCACCTGAGGGAGGGATAGTGGGTGTGATTTGAGAGTAGGTTACAGTCACCTGAGGGAGGGATAGTGGGTGTGAATTGAGAGTAGGTTGTCCCAGGTTATCTACCGCCCTTGTCGTAAAAGGCAACTTGAACGAGCAGACAGCATTTTATAAACTCACCCATGAACTTGCAGGTGGGGATATCTGTGTTGTAAGCATAGTAGTTGGTATCCCCGTCCCTTGTGTTCCCACAGGTAAGAGCACTGTTTCCTTGGAGTTGGTATTTGGTGGTGTTGGTACAGGACACAGACAGCACGGCACCAGGAGCTACTTTACTTAGCTCACTTACTGGCGTGTATCCTCCGTGAGCAACGCTGGGAGTTTTACAGCCCTTGGTCACCAGGGTGAAATACTTCCTGACCCAGTCGTTCTTGGAAAAGTGGAATGTGCAGGTGAAGGAAGAGTCCTCCGGAATGTTGACTGACAGGGATGTTTTGGTGTTGCTGGTGGTTGTTATTCCTGTTGATACCTGAAAATATAATCCAAAATTTGATGGTTGATTGTGAGCTACCATGCAATTTAGTCTCTAACGATCACCATAAGAAAAGGTTCCATAAGTTTTTGTCCGAATAATATGTCCTGATCTCAATATCAGTTCTCACCTTGGTTGACGATTTAAACCATTCCGGAGCATCAGAAATAGCGTCATCACTACCAGTAACCTCACACTCCATAGTGCTGGCTTGGTTCAAATCAACCCAGTTAGTAGCTGATGTAGCCGCATTGTTCAACTTCAGTGTGAACGCTGAAATAATTTGTTACTAATCGCAGTTCCGAGTACTTTTAACAAGTTACAGTAGAGATGCATACTACATTTCTGTTAAAGTTGGGTGGTTTAAAATCAAAATAAAATGACACGGCCACTCAAATAAACACAACAAATGACTTACTATACTGGGATATAAGGGAGGAGTCAGTGAACGTGACCCCGTTAACGGTGGCTAAACAGGAAGTGGTCCACTTCTTGCTAACATTATCAATCTGGAGAGTAACCTCCCTGGCGGTGGAAGTTGTAACCACGTTGTTCTTGTTGGTGGTGCCGTCTGTTGCTGTTACTTCTAGTTTAGTGAGTGCGGTGCCGGTGTAGGAGACAAGCTTACAGGTTACTGTTGCTGTACTACCCTTCTCAACTCGTACCTTCTCTATCTTCGTGTCTGAAAATTATTACTGTCAAACTTGATCAAAATTGGGTGTAGGCTTAGAAACGTATTACGACCATAAGTTATTTTCTCCATTTTTTCTCTGAACAAACTTGGCGGCCAAATTCTGCTATTTGCCGGCATGATATGGTTCTCCCAGCTCACAAATCAACCACAAACAAAGGCTGTAACATTTATGATTAACTCACAGTAATACTCGAGAGCTTTAGTTGCAGACCCGCTACCGGCGTGATCAGAACCCACCCTGATCTTAACAGTTCCATCAGACTGAACTCCTTTTATCACCAGGATACTCTCCACCTTCTGACCTGTCTTGTAACTGTTACTGATGCCTGTCGTTAGTTTCAGGTCGTCTGGAGGGAATTATCAGAGTTAGTGGCAGAACAGTTATTGGGATCAAGGGGAACGTGGTATTTAAGTCTGGATTTGAGAACGTCGTAGTATCCTGGATATAATTTGTTTTTTCGAAGTTTAAGTACATGTTTATGCTCTTGTAAGACACATCAGTTAAGTTAATATTGACAAGTGACAATGAAATCCGAAAAGCCGAATATTTGAACAGTAAGAAAGAAGAACTAGGGTGTGTACTCACTGATATACCAGTTAATATCAGCTACCAAGTTAAAGGAACAATCGCTGATGGTTGCAGTGAAGACCGTGTCTCCAGCCGTGTTCCACTTCTGATCAGACACTATGATAGATATCAGCTCTATCTTCCGCTCTACTTTAGCTTGGTAGGTACCGTACTTAACAGCACATTCCATAGTACCGTCCCCTGACACCTTCTTGAAGGACCCGGCCTAGAATAGTGGGTAAACTGTGATGTAAGAAACTGGTAGAAATTATAATGCAACACTATTGTGCGGATCGGGAAGAATTATCATTCGTTTTTTAATTCGCCGAGAGTCATGGCAAGTTATTTTGATCGACTGGATAGTATTTTCTTTCGCCTCAACCAGAATCTATTACTACTACATCTGTGTTTATGAAACTGTGAGCATGATAAGATACAACTTTCTTAAGACGTATGACATGAAGATAACGATAAGCAGGAACTCACATTGAAATTTCCGGTTGTCTGAGTAGAAGTGAAGGTTGTAGGTCCGGTTATAGCAATGCTGTCCGGATTAGCCTTGTTATTACTCACCAGACACGTAACCGACACGTCACTACCCGAGCTTGTAGAGTACGCGTTATCAAACGTTATGTCTGAAAATGGAACAGTATTATTTTCCAAACCTGCAATAATTTCCAATAAATCCTCCTAAATGCCATGTCAATCTGATAACTATCTGATCGCGACTAACCGAACTGATCCACGTGGAGAGTAGTTTTAGCTCCAGCAGGGCTGACATCGCTCCTGTCCACCATCACCACCACATCCTTATCTCCCAGTTTGTAGTTTGTGATAATGAGCTTGGTCACCACACTGTTACTGCTGTACACCGTCTGAACTGTTACAGCCTCACTTCCCACAGCTTTGGTGTACTTGGCATCTGAGAAGATGAGGAGTTATTAGCAATTATTAGTCATGTGCTTCAGTGTTTCAGTTGTGTTGAGTTTGGAAAAAATTGACAATGGGAACCATAATCCAAGTCTATGAGTCAATCACGAAAATTACATTAATGTCGACAATAGAGGAGCTAATGAACAGTAAATGGACATCCCACATAAAAAGTCACAATTTTTGCCTATTTAGTTGGAAGGATGCAGTGCCACTTCTTCAATTGTAAGATTATAGTGTAACCTTCACTTACCATCGATAGACCAGACGATATTGTCACTGTAATCAGCAACCAGACCACCGAAGGTAGCAGTGAGAGTTACAGATTCTCCGGTGTGTACGTAGACCTTGCTGGACGGTACGGACACGGTGATATGATCTATTTTAGCTATGGTGGTGATGGTCTCCTTCTTAGGCGAGGTCACATCCACTTTACACGTGTAGACCAGATCGGAGGTTATCGTCATTGAGTTGTACTGAGGTAAACAGGGTTCAGTTAATAATGTCATTGTTTTAGTTATAAAGATGATACGTTACTTTTTTATTACGAACAACAGATAAAATGAGATAATGTCTCCAAACTCACCTTGAGAGTGATAAGACCTTTGCCCTCTTTGCTGTTCCACAGATCTGTCATCGTCTCGACATGGTCACTGACCACCTCCTCTTTGGTAGGATAGTAGAACTTGCCAGCTGAGTTGGTCCAGTAGGTGGGGACTGGTTGGTGGTCGAAATGGTGCATGGAGCAGGAGAAGAAGTAGTGGTCAGCGTGGGCCATTGCTTTTGTCTCCACATCTGTAGAGTGCAGTTAATATCGTGATTTGGAGATTAACCAACAAGATTATACAGATACAAAATCTTTGTAAGAATTTGGAGAGAGAGACATTTGTACAGCTTGTGGTAACTTACATCTTATGTTGAGTTCAATGTCTTTGGAGACAATCTTTCCGTTCTTTGTAGCTTGGCATTTGAGAGAATGAGCGTTTGATAGCCTGAAATGTTCGAAATTATAAGATTATAAGGAACTACCTTGCTCTTTAATATCACAAGAACGTGTCAAATGACCGTTTTCCTAAGTCCTAGAGGATAATATTCATGGAAGTTAAATTACGTGCTCGGATGTACATGATAGAAGTGGTTTTTTGGATGTGGTTTTGATGACATCTGAAAGCTAATATGTATAAAGTATGTTATTAGAACTTTATAATTGCATGGTTCACCATTCTACGGCACGTTTTTAACATGGTCATGTACACTTAACACTGTAATACGACACTTATTTGTACTTGTAAAAGGAATGTATCGTGTAAATAACTATAATGGTTGTAAACGCTAAAATTTACATTTAAAACTATTTGCTAAACCTACTGCTACAAAGGAGCATGATCAAGTCTGAATCTACTCATTTTAAGTGTTGATCCCCCAAAATTTTGTGCGGAGACTTACAAAATACACAGATTTGGCACACTGTAAAATTAGGAAAACATCTAAAATTTGTGCTCTTAAATGATTTAATCCTAAGATGTACAATTCAGAAAATAAAACTCAGAAAATACTTCTTCGTTCCTTTAAGTCAACCCGCCTTCCGACACAAACCTCTCACAATCTATGTGATAATTGCTCATCACAATTACTCGTGTCACTCTGTCAGCCCACTAACAAAAGTAACGGAAATCAACTACCAATTTAAGTATAATTTACTCAATGTCTCGCGTTACACTAACTAAAAATCGAAAAATAAATATTTCTAATACCGTACTCTTGCTAATTAGAGGACGGCGATCATGATGTTTATTTTCAGCATAACTCAAGTTTAAGCTGTTGCCCATCGATGCCCATGCCCATTTGACCAAAAGTTGAGGAATAAATGGGTTGTTCTATGCACAATGTACATCTAATACTTCATTTGCCTTCAACATATATATTAAATTTAGTACAGATAATCCTACTCAAGTTACGTAGTGGTCACGAGTTTTGTTTTGGTTATGATCTCACTAGCAGTGCTATACTCAGCTTTCCAGCTTTATACGTTCATTTATTGACCTTTACTTGTGTTTTGCTTGTGTTTTGCTTGTGCGGGAATGTTTCTATCTATCGTTTTGCTATGTTTGTCTCAGTTGGTTTTAACAACTATGTCTTATCAAAGGGGTTCAGGGCCTATAAGAGACATTCAATATTTGGGTGAGTTTCCTAAATATTATCCTTTTTTGTTTTCAGCACAAGACTTGGAACTTATCTCATAACTTAGGAGATTTGAGTCTTAATCGTAAAATAACGTAGTTTCTTTAGGATAAATCTATTCCTCGATATACCCTCACAGTTTATTGAATGTAATGTCCTTCTCCACCCTTATCAGGCGTCAGTAATAATCGGATGATCATAGCTTATCGAGGCAGCGGTGATATCTACATAAAAGAACACGGTTCACTCAAAAGGTATGGTGACACAAACTGGATGCAACAAGATAAGAAGTACGGTGACAAAGGGTGTTGGTACGCAGAATTCCCACTCATATCTCTTCCAGCAAAGATTAAGATAGTGGGAAACACTCGAGCGTACGGTGGGAATAACCCAATAAATAAACCCGCAGTGGAGTCGTGGACCTTCGTAGAGATTGGGTCTGGAGGGCAGGTTCTCAACCAAAACGTTAACGCCAATACAGGAAATTATAACTTCCGTGGTAATGAATTGTAGTGTTACAGTAGGCGAGCAGGATTTGTAAACTTGAGCTAGAAAATACTTTTATACAATGCAGAGTCTTACTTTTTGAGTACCTTTCTTCTTGTCAATAAAGAGATTTTGAAAACATGTTGTTGATTTATAATTACTAGCAAGAACCCGTATAACTCTAAAGTGGTGTGAATAGACAACGATATTTAAATCATTTATGTATGAGTACAAGGTATTTAACATTTAAAAAAATGTAACTTTCAGTAAGCAATTTGTGCCTAGTTACTGCGAAGAAGATAATTTGTAAGTCTCTCCAGACAATTAATCCGAGTAAGTTAACTTAATTTAACTTAATTTAACTTAATTTAACTTAATTTAACTTAATTTAACTTAATTTAACTTAATTTAACTTAATTTAACTTAATTTAACTTAATTTAACTTAATTTAACTTAATTTAACTTAATTTAACTTAATTTAACTTAATTTAACTTAATTTAACTTAATTTAACTTAATTTAACTTAATTTAACTTAATTTAACTTAATTTAACTTAATTTAACTTAATTTAACTTAATTTAACTTAATTTAACTTAATTTAACTTAATTTAACTGGTGCTGTTTTACCCACCCGGTCATGACCAGAACAGAGTTTCCGTGAGCGGAAGTGATCCCTGAGGTGATCTCCTTATTGGCCCCAGAGAACCACTTCCAGGTTGTCTCGGTGCTAGATTTCAGTCCTGAGACGGAACACGTGATACTGACTGAATCTCCGGAGTACAGTTTAGTAGTCGGGTTCATGGTCACTGTCAGGTCTGAGGAGAGGGTCCGTCATTTGTCAGCATTTAGATATCAGTCACAGTATTATTGGTCATTATGTCAAAATGTAGATGATAATCTATTATGATCCCCACACAACACTTTCCCGAAGATTTAAGAAGACAACTAACCGTAAATGTCCAGAGCAATGTGAGCGTTCGCCTCTCCAATACTGCAGGTCACGTGTGAGTCTGCCGCTATCTTTGCCACTGTCAAGGTACTGGAACCAGTCTTGCCGGCTGTTGTAGCTGTACCAGCCTGGTTCGTTGTCTCACCTACTGATCCTGTCCATATCACTGTGTGTGTCTCTTGTGATTCACTGCAACAGAATCGGTAAAGTTGGATCATGATTGTTGGGTCATGTGACTAGAATTTTGCGGACGTTCAAGCGAGAGTAATATTTGTTGAGGTGACCGTAAGCTGCCATGTTTTGGGAAGGAGCTGACTGTTACCTGTATGAACATGTAAAGGTATACGGTGATCCGGCGGGGACAGCAGTTACTCCGGTAGCTACCAGTTTGATGACATCAATCTTAGGGCTAGCAGTGAACTTTACCCCTGCTATCACAAACTCGCAGGTGTAGGTTTTGTCAGAGGTAACAGTGTTGGGGGTCGTCACAGTGGCGGTCAACATTCCGTTCACTAATGGAGTCTTCTAAAACATAAAGTAGGTTCATGAGTTAAAGTTTATTAAAAAATGGACTATAAAGCATTGTATGTTTCAGAGTTCCTGGTACTAAAGTTGGAAGAATTAAAAAAAGTTTTACTCATAGATCTCCCTAGTCCTTACAGTTACTACTCTTTTTCGGCGTTAAACAACTGATTTGTATACGGATTAAGAATGTTATGTATTTTCCCAAAAAAAAAAACCATGATTCAAAACTTACCGCAACGTCTGCTAAGACCGTATTTCCATCTTTGAAAGTGATGGTAGGTACTGCACTTGATCCTTTGAGGATGCAAGTCAACTTTGCATTGTCTCCGTAATTTACCGTCGTAGAGGAGGCGGTCAGTGCTGCGAGGAGTTAGCAATTTCAAAATAATTATTTTTAATTTATAAAATTTGTTAAAATAACCCTCCATGCGCAAAACAAACAATGCCAAGTAAAGCTAGAAAATGAAACTTATTATGATACGAAATTACACTTGTACCCACCAGTAACATAAGCATGTAGTGTAACATGTTGAGTGTTCCCATCTGGTGACAATATGGAGAGTTTAGGGGCCTCATCTTTAGTCAGAGCTGTTATCTCCAGTGTTATCAAGATAACACCCTGTGCTTTATCATTATCATTTATCTCAGACTTGTAGGTTCCACTTGCCAGGTCCCAGGTGATCTCAGGTCTGACGGTGAGCCCGTTTAGAGTACACACAACAGTTGCCTTCTGTCCAGAGGCTGCAACCCCAGTGGTACAAGATACAGTGTACAGGTCTATTTTCTTGGTCACGGACTCTCCAGCGACCTTGCATTTGTAGTTCTTGTCTAAGGTTATGGTAGAAGTGACGACTGATGTGCTCTTGCTGGCTCCGAAGGTGTTCGTAAAGGAAGTGGCTCCCAACTCAGTGGTCTCCTCGAACCACTGCAGTTCCTTGAGAGTTTCCATTTTAGCACCGTCCAGGTGACAGGTGATAGTCTTGGTGTGGGTGGTGATGATGTAAGCGTCATCCATCTTCATGGTGAACACATCGTAATATGTATTTAGTGTGTACACAGCAGGTCCGCCCCAGGCTACAATACACTGGTAAGCGGTGTCTTTTGAGAGTTTTCCTGCCTTCCAAGTGGAGGTCTTAGCTCCGGTGGCTGTGTTGAAGGTAGACTCAGTGTCGTCAGTGTTGGATTGAGCCACTCCGTCAACAGTCCATAGGAAGGTCGGGTCGTGTTGAGATCCTGTCACCGAGCACAGTAAGTTAACGTCTGTGTCAGCTGGTCCACTCCCGTGTGTCACCGAGACATCCAACACATCCACATTCATTGTCTCATCAAACTTTGTGGTGGTCTTAGAGTCCAGTATAGCAGGTGCAGGAATGTCGATAGCGAAGGTCCATACAGTGTCTTTTGTAACACTCTTCATATGCAAGGTGAACTTCTGGGTTCCACTGGAGAGGGCAGTAGAGGTGATCATGTCCTTCTGGGATGAGTGGTACACTGTCTCTCCGCTTGTGAAGGATACGTAACTTGCACAATCTCCAGATGCAACACCGGTTACAGTTACTGGCACGTCGATATCTTTACCAGTCAATACCGTTACGTCAGTTTTAGTTAGAGCTGAAATATGAGAACTAATAGGTCTTGATCTGAACTTAGGATTTATAAAACTGGCAATAAATACCGTTTATCAGTGTCAAACTTCACAGCTTCAAATATAAAGATACATAAGATATGTTCAAGTTTCAACTTACCAATAACGTCAATCATAACCTCAGCTTGAGATTTGACATTGTTAACGTCCATGTAACACGTGAACTTCTTGTCTTTATCAACCGTATCAACCTTCAAGGTAGACAGTAGGTATCCTTTCGCCGAGTCGAATGCAGAGTCTGTTACTTTGTGTCCTGCAGTCACGGCTGAAATTTCAGGGCTTACAACTTTGTCGAGGTGTTACGTTATATATAGAAGGCACAAACGTTAAACCTTGAATGGGAGACGGAGGAATAAGATAATGTACCTGCTATCTAATTATGTATTACTTACTTTATAATATGCATTATGTAATATGTAATACATATTATATATTACTAAAAATTACACAAAGTAGGTTGGACTCACCTGAACTCTTGTACTTCGTGTTAGCATTGTCCCCATCTATCCAGTAGATCTCAATAGGTGCGACAGGAGAACCAACAATAGCACACACTAGGGTTGCTGACTTTCCTGCTTCTGCTTTTGTTCCATAAGCCTTCTTTTCTGGAAGTAGATAAGGGTTAATTGACGCTTTAAACAAAATTTCAGCTGAACTTTACTCAGACAAATGTTCCTCTGGGTACAAAAGCAAGAATTGTCGGAAATAATAACTCCATAAAACGTTCGTTTGATCTAAAATAGCGCACATAAATCTTCACATGAACAGTACCAAATGGCCTGCACTTACCGAAGTACCAGATTTTAGAAGTCCCGGAGAAGTCGAGAGCTTTGCACATGAAGGAGGAAGATGTGGTAAGATGAGAGGGTGTGGTCAGGACAGAGGTTGTTGTATCTTGCGGAGAAGATGAGTTTAGTGAGCTTATCAGCGATCAGATACGATACCAGCCATATCAGTTTACAAGGCAACTAACTATTATGATGAATAAAGACACGTCTGTAGCAAAGACATTGGGTCAAATTGTCAAATGATCTGGTATATTAAAGTCACTATTGTGACGGTACATTAGAACTAGACAGAAACAAAGTGTAAATGGCCTGAATATGAGGGTTGTTGTACGACTTACCAGTGGTTTTATCGTAAGTAGTGACAACAGACAACTTCTCGTCCTTATTAAGATTAGTATCGTGCCCGGGTGTCCAGTGCAGGAACTGGGTCAGGTCTGCGCCACTTATCTTGCAGGTCAGAGCTGCAGATTCTCCGCTTTTCACGATAGCATTAGCTGTCACTGTGCCAGCTGAATGTGTTATACGCACTATTAGATTCATACTTATAATTTAAAAACTAAAACAGTTGAATGGAAGTTAATTTTTAATTTCCCCCGAAATACAACTTTAGATGCTTGAGTTCTTTCTACTTACAGAAGAATTTGACTGTCAGTGCCTCTGTGATGGAGTGTCCCAGATCTTTGGCTGGTTTATAATCAGCTGGAGTCATACGACTTGTTACGAAGTTCATCGTGGTTACTGTTCCTGTGAACTTCTGAAGTTCAAGTGCGTAGTGAGTACTGTCACTGGTAACTGTCTTAGTCCACTTGTAGCTCTCAGATGTCTCCCAAGATCTGTAGGTGTCACTCCCGGCTGTTGCTGTGATCCTGATGTCTAGTTTCAGTCCCTTCAAGTCAATGTCGATGACTGTGGGGGCTGTGGTGTCTTTGTTCACATACTTGATCCCTTCTACGTCTCCCTTTACTTTCATTGCTGGTGGTGGTTATGTGGTTATGGGTTATAGTAATTGATCATTTGAGACCTTTGGTCAATATACAGCTCATATTAAGTTGGTAAGAACAAACCGATTCTAAATAAGATAAACTTACTGTAGGCATTAGCCACGACTGCCTTCTCAAAAGAAGATCCTCCAGTTATAGCTTTGCAGACGAAGTCCTGATCTTCCCTAATATTGAAGAGTTTGATGTAACTCTCCTGGGATCCTTCGTCATTGTTCCATTCACTCTCTGATTGCTGAACATTTTAATTTTAGATTCGGTAATAATTTACGGCAAATAGGTAAAATGTCGACTGGCTATTAACCGGCTAATATTAACCGGTTAATAGCCGGTCAGCATTGTACCTATTTGCCTAATTCACCATGGTAATTTCACACAGACAAGATTGAAGATGTTAAGAGTTCTTCGTAAAATAATTTAAGCTATTTCATTTGAAAAGGATTAGTCACTGTATAAAGAAACGCACCTCGAAGTAAACTGAAGTCTTGGCAGGAGTCCAAGTCCACGAAGTGGGTTTGAGCTCAGCGCCGCTAACTTTGCAGGTGAGTGTGGTGGTTGCCTCCCCGACTTTAACAGCTTGGCTAGTTTCAAAGAACTTGAACTGCCAGATATTCTTGGCGACTTTGGTTGTCGACCCGGCCATGGTAACTGCACACGTGTAGATTGTGTCATCTTTCTTGTAGTTGGTAACCTGTCAGGAAATCAGAGATTAAAACTGAGACTGACAATCAGTGGGAGTCACATATACGAATTAATCTGAAACGAACACTATCATTAAAATAGACGAGATAATAAACAATGTCAACTATATAAAAAAGAAAACCTTGAGAGCTGACTCGAATATCTTGGTGCCAGTGGTGTACTGAGGGGTGATGGTGATATCACCTCCAGTAGCCATACTCTTCCCATCGTTAGTCCAGGTGACCTGTGCCGTGATGTCATTATGAGAGTTGGTCACCTTACACGTGAGCATCAGTGAACTTCCTTCCTTGATCTGCACGTGTGACTCGTAGTGGATCTCTGGGAACAGTGTTACATTTAGCGGGAGCGTTAGACACGCTCACACGATCTCCGCAGGTTTGTGCGATATTTGATGCTAACTGTCAAAATAAAATCTTTTTATTACACTCGTTATTTTCTGTCTTTTGCTTCCGTAGTTGTTATTGCTGGTGAACATTAGGCTTTGTTCTACTTAAAGAAATACAACCAAAAACAACCTCAGCGCACAAATACTCTATTGAAGATGTCTGCTTCTCTCACCAGTAAATACATGGAACAGTTAACCAGGGGGCCGTTCAGCAAGGATTTTATCGAACAAGTGGTGAATGCTCAGGACACAATTCTCGATGACATATGTCAAACACTAAGCCTGACCGATCATCAGAGTATACGATCAGAAACCTTGAACCAGGGACACGTGACACGAGGGCAGCTGTGTGAGTGGCTGGAAGCTGTGAGCTGCTTGCTTCACACTTGCAGCGTTCCGCTTTTACAGAATGCTTTGCCGCTTGCTACAGCTGTTGAGGAGCTCAGAGAGGAGAAGATAAAGAATCAGAAGACTATCATGGAGCTGCAGCAGATTATTATTGATAGGAAGGAAGCAGAACTGAAAGCCATGGAACCGACAGTAGTGTATTCTAGAAGCTCTGGTGCTGTGCCCCAAGCGAGACAAATTCCGCAAGATCCCCTAAGTCGTAAGAAATTTGTTCAGGAATTAAGCAAAGTCAGGAACAACCCAACCTCCAGTGTAAAAGAGGCACAATTGGAGTTTCAGAGGGCTGGTGATAAGACGGAGCAGAGTATTATTGGTAAAAAGAAAGCAGAGCTGAGAGCCATGGAACCGACAGTAGTTCATTCTAGAAGTTTTGGTGTGCCCCCAGCTAGAGAAATTCCACTAGATCCCTCGAATTTGAGGAAATTTGCAATGATATTGTCGAAAGAAGAGCTGGAAAATGGGATTGATGATAAAATGAGCGAGGTGCTGTCTCAAATGGAGGATTTCACATTCAACAGTTCAGATCATGTGACCAAGGTTTTGAAGAGAGCTAAATCAATTCGGGATGAAGAAAACTAGATCACACTGCGAAAAAGAGACACGAGATTTCAACTAGGAAAGGACAAATTATTAAGGACATTTATTATCAATTTTAGAAAGCGTCGCCAATCTAATATACAATTATTATAGTCACAATAGATATTCTTTCCGAGCATGCCATATGCCAATTTCATGTAAATCTCATAAATCTCTAAAACTTTACTCGAAGCAAATATTCATTGTTTAACATTGATTCGAACCTGAAACTTCAATCTTAGCCATTGCTTCAGAAGTAGAATAGCTAGTTGTCATGATGAACTTGAGATTGTTAGGAGCCCCGGACTTGGCTCCGACAGCGTTTACAATTGAAGTCAAGGTCTTCGTTTCCGCCGTCCATACCGGCTGTGACAGATTTATTATTAGTTCGGTCAGAATTGAGTTGTTGTTATGCAGATTATTTTGAGTGTCTTATAAATCTCTGTAAGCACATCATATCGTTTTTATCAATCGAACGATATAGGTTTATGCTACACAACCTCCAAATCACTTACAGTTTCGGCAGTAAGCTTGGTTGAGTCCAGCATCCAGGCGAGTTTGGAAGAGTAGTCAGCGGAGTATCCCGTTAAAGTGACAGTGAACTTGTAGGAGGTACCCAGGACTAGGTTTATCGTAGACGGCTCGTATTTTATCGCTGAGAGAAGAGGTTTATTTAGGCACAAACGTTAGGGGAAATTGTAAACGTACGCGTGGAACCTGAAGCAATTCCAACATGGTAAAAGGCCCTCGAAAGAGGATAATGGAAAAATATTTATGATAAGTAAGCACAAACTTGCGACATCTAGGGTAGAAGATGCAGAGTAGTCAGCAATCCCGTCCACTCTCAGCAGGTAACTAGACTTCTTTCCGGCTTCAGCTGTTCCCGCCTTTATTGTCAGCATACCCACCCACTCTTTCTTAGCCTCATCCCAAGTCCTGCTCTTGGTATACAACCCAACATCCTTGAGCTCCTGAGTTGTCCCTAGGAACCAGGATACCCTGCTCAAGTTTATATCCTTGTTAACTCCTGTCAGCTTCATGGCAACAACCGACTCTACCGTGTTGAAGGAGAGTGTCTCCTGGGCCGTCATTTCATATACGTCCATGTCAATGGCTGGAGCTAATCCATCTGATTCTACCTTAGTGGAGCACACTATACTGCTGTCTTTAGTAGCGCTCTTTATTATGAGAGTGCTCTTCATGGTCTGGGCTGCGTAGGGTGGTGTGGTGATGGTGTAAGTGGCAGTGTCAGTGGGGGAAGCCACCTTGCCGTCCACTGTCCAGGTGATGTGAGCTGGTGCGGTCTTGCTTTCTGTTACAGTGCAAGTGAAGGCAGCTGCTTTCCCTGACAACGCTTCCGTAGTGACCTGACTTGTGGTTAGCTTGTACACGTCCACAGTGGCTGTCTTTGTAAAGGAGTTCGTCGGGAAAACAACTTTACACGTGTATGTTTCATCAGCCTGGGAGGATGTTATCCTCAGCTCTGCAGTTTGATGCCCGTCAGTAAACCCAGATTGGATCACCTTGAAGCCGGTAGTGGTCGTGGAGGCCTTATATGTCGCTCCTCCGTTGACTTCCCAGTAGATGTCTGTCGGCGCTGAAGATGATCCCTTTACTTCACATGTAACTGTAGCGGCAGCTGCTAACTTTACTGTGGTGGATTTGGTCTTTATCTCAATGACGTCTATGTTAACTGCTTCTGTGTAGTCCTTACCGTCCAGAGAGATTTTGCAGGTTGCCGTGGAATCTAAATTCTGATTAGCCAGCTGAAGATTATTGTGCTGCCCACTATTTTCGAAGGTAGATGTTGTCATGGTAATTCCCGCACCAGAGTTAGACGCAGTGTAGTCGGTTCCCTTAACATCCCATTTCCACGTGGAAGGAGCCTTGTCCGTGTGGGACACTGAGCACGTGAGACTAGCAGTGGTTCCTAACTCCGTCTTGTAGCTGCTGGAACTGATGGTGAAGGTGTCTGACTTAACAGTCCAGGAGAGGGTGTTGCTGGTCCACTCGTGGTTACAGGTATAGACAGCATCACTGTCTGCTTTAGCTATCTTCATGGTGGTGTACGTATACCCAGCGCTGGCTGATTTGCCGAACTCGAACCCTGAAACCTGTTCAGTCTCTGAGAGTTTCCCCGAGAATGGTCCACTCCACCAGACCTTGTCGTGGGGTGTTTGCTGTCCCTCGTATCCACAGGTTAGGATAGTCTCGGAACCCACCTTGACAGATGTTCCGGTAACACTTTTCTTGACGGCGTCTACCTTGACCATGTGGGTCCACTTTCTACTATTTACAACAAAAGTGGCGGTAAATGTGGTGTCAGCTGCGACGCCTTCTATAAGCAGAGTGGTGGACCGAGACTGTTTGACTTTGTCCCAGTTGCCCCAACCCACGGTTTTCTTTCCCTGTCCGTCTTCCTCGCTCCAGTACATATCCTGAGAGTTAAGAGCAAGAGCAGACCCAGTGATAGTACCCACAAGAGTTGCTGGTTCTCCTTCCACTGTCACAAAGTTCTTTCCCGATAACACGAACGTGTCCACTGACGACAGGGCCTTGAAAGTGAAAGTACCTATTTTAATGTGACAGTCAACCTTAGTGTCGGTGCTCATTGGGGCGGTCATGCTGCTTGAAAACTCTCCGTTCGTTAAAACTACTGGAGTAATTGCCTTGATGGTGGGGCAGGTTTCCTTGAAATACACGTTCTGTCCAGCTTCATGGTGGTATGTAGCTGCTGCTGATGTTATCTGGTGGTACTTTCCGGCAACAAGTATGAAACTTTTACACGCTGAGTAGGGAATAAAATGGTAAGTTCATGACAAGGGTAGAGTCTAAGTAGTGCAGATGAACTTCTCAGTGGCTTAGTAGTTTATCTGTAGGTTAAAACAAGCGCATGGAAAGAAATACATATAACATTAAAATTCAATGACTACCTGCGTTTCCAGAACAAGAAGATTTGATGGCCGCGATGGTGGTGGAACTCGCACTTTCAAAAGTTGCCGTGCCAATGTCACCATACTTACACCACTCTGAAACAAGACTCAGTTAGCAATTAGTATTTAACGATGGAGAATAATACGGAGCTGATAAAAATATGGTTAGTTATTTTGAGGAGTTGAAACTGCAATTAAGCATCGTTATTGTTGAAACAAAG